TTTCCGCCCGAGCGTAAGAAAACTAAAGTCACCTCCAGACGATTGCCAAATTCCCAGGGTAATGGGGATGAAAAAACAAAACCGAAGGCTCCTGTTGATCCAATCCCTGGATGCAGCAAGAATTTTCCGCCATTGCCCAACAAAGATAAAAAAAATAAAAAAGCTGCTCCTCAAACTTCTCAAAAGAAATCCAAGTCCGAACGAGGTTTGCTAGCTTTTTCGGACATTGTGGAATTCATATTAAACATGTTCAACATACAAGACCCTCTAAGAAGCTTAGTTTCTGCCTTGCTTCCAACATTAGAATCATATCTTAAGCAATTGACTGTTTCATGGCCCCTCCTTGCATCAATCATATCTTTCGATGGATAATTCGTCGAACGAGGTCGAAGATATGATCACTGTGCTACAGTGGAACTGCCGTAGTCTAGTGCCTAAACTAGACTCGTTCAAATTTTTACTTCACAATTCTGACTGTGATATATTTGCTCTCTGTGAAACATGGCTTTCTTCCGATAAAGAACTCAACTTCCACGATTTTAACATTATACGCCTGGATAGAGACGATTCTTATGGAGGAGTACTTTTAGGGATCAAAAAGTGCTACCCTTTCTACAAAATTTCCCTTCCTGCTCTATCCAGCGTCGAAATCGTTGCTTGCCAAATAAATGTGAAGAACAAAGATCTTTGCATAGCTTCAGTATACGTTCCACCAAGAACCTCCATTAGCCGTAGTCAACTCTGGAATCTAGTTTCGATTCTTCCATCCCCAGTATTAATTCTAGGTGATATGAACTCCCATGGTACTGGGTGGGGCGATCTATATGACGACAATAGAGCGGCTATTTTTTACGATTTATGTGACGATTTCAATTTGACTATTACGGAAATGCGAGATGCGAGATGACTATACGTGTCGCTTCACCAGTGTTCAAGGTGAAGCGACACGTATAGCAAAACCTCCGGCTCGAGAAAGCCGACTCGACCTATCTTTGTGTTCAAGATCGCTATCATTGGATTGTCAGTGGAAGGTTATCAATGATCCCCATGGTAGCGATCATTTGTCAATCATCATTTCAATAAAGTGTGGCCCTCACTCTGCAGAACCATCTCGGGTTCCATTTGATCTTACAAGGAACATCGACTGGCAGAAATATGCAACGGCGGTGACAATCGGTGTCGAATCAATAGATGCGCTTCCACCATTGGAAGAATATCGATTCCTAGCCGATTTGATTTACAAAAGCTCACTGGAAGCACAAAAAAGAAAAGTTCCAAGTGCACCCTTTAAAAGGAGACCAGCCACACCTGGTTGGGACGAAGAATGCACAAAATTGTATGTAGAAAAATCTGATGCTTTCAAAGCTTTTCGTAGACACAAAACCTCCACTTACTTCGAGGAATATTCAAAGCTTGAGACAAAGCTGAAACAATTAATCAAAGCAAAAAAACGCGGTTATTGGCGCAATTTTGTCGAGGGACTCTCACGAGAAACCTCAATGAACACCTTGTGGAGGGTGGCTCGCAACATGCGTAACCGCTCATCTTTCAATGAGAGTGAAGAATACTCCAACCGATGGATATTCGATTTCGCTAAAAAGGTCTGTCCGGACTCAGTTCCAGCACAAAATATTCTTCGAGAAGCGTCTCCTAGCGGCGGCTCTCTGGATAGACCATTCTCAATGCTGGATTTCTCTATGGCTCTTCTTTCATCGAACAACTCCTCACCGGGAAGCGATATGATTAAATTCAATCTTCTGAAAAATCTCCCAGATATCGCTAAAAGACGCTTGCTAGATTTATTCAATTCCTTGCTAGAAAACAACATTGTACCGCCTGAATGGAGACAGGTCAAAGTAATAGCCATTAAAAAACCTGGCAAATCAGCGTCTGACCATAACTCATACCGTCCGATTGCTATGCTTTCGTGCATTAGGAAATTGTTGGAGAAAATGATCCTTCGGAGACTCGATCACTGGGTCGAATCAAATAACTTGCTATCAAATACACAGTTTGGGTTCCGCAAGAGCAAAGGAACAAACGATTGTCTAGCGCTGCTTTCCACAGATATTCAACTGGCCTTTGCACACAAGGAGCAATTGGCTTCAGTATTCTTGGACGTTAAGGGGGCTTTTGATTCAGTTTCCATTGAAATTCTGTCAGACAATCTGCACAGATGTGGACTTTCTGGAATTTTAAATAATTTCTTGTACAATTTGTTGTCAGAAAAGCAAATTAACTTTTCCCTTGGACAACTGACAACTTCCAGAATTAGCTACATGGGCCTGCCCCAAGGCTCATGTCTCAGCCCTCTTCTTTATAACTTTTACGTCAAAGATATCGACAACTGTTTGGCAGAACAATGCACGCTAAGACAACTTGCAGATGACGGTGTGGTTTCCGTAAGAGGTCCACATGCCGTGGACTTGCAAGGACCATTGCAAAATTCCTTAGATAACTTGTCTTCTTGGGCTATGAATCTAGGGATCGAATTCTCGCCGCAGAAAACTGAACTGGTAGTGTTTACTCGAAAGCGGTACCCAGCCCAAATGCAGCTTAATCTTTTGGGCAGAAACATTACCCAATCATTGTCTTTCAAGTACCTTGGGGTCTGGTTTGATTCAAAGTGCACTTGGAATGCCCATATTACGTATTTGAAGCAAAAATGTCAGCAGAGGATCAACTTTCTCCGTTCAATTTGCGGCACATGGTGGGGTGCTCATCCGGGAGACCTCATAACGCTTTATAAAACAACTATTCTCTCTGTTCTAGAGTACGGCTCTTTCTGCTTTCTCTCGGCAAGAAAAAGTCACCTAATAAAATTGGAACGAATTCAATATCGTTGTCTGCGTATTGCTCTAGGCTGTATGCACTCAACGCATAACATGAGTCTCGAGGTTCTGGCAGGAGTAACACCCCTCCAGAACCGTTTCTGGGAGCTCTCTCTCAGAATACTAATCAAATGCGGAGTGACGAACACACTTATAATTGCTAATTTTGAAGAAATTCTTGGGCTGAACACACAATCTCGATTTATGAGAATCTACCACCACTACATATCATCAGATATGTGTCTTCCTTGTTATACTCCAGACCGTGCTCACTTCACCAATCGCAGTTCCTCAATTGAATATGATCTGACCACCACACTTCGTTGACTTTTCCGCATTCACAAAAAACGAAGCCATCTTGTCATTAAATCGTCGTTAAACACTCAAACAAACATAAAACTAAAGCTGTTACTGTTACTGGTAACAAATCGGTCGGTCTTTCCAGATATTTAACAGTCCATGATGTGATTTGTTCGAGAGAGTTATAATTTCCCTAAAGAGTATCAACAAACAATCAAAGTTTACATAATGTTCAGCTTAGTTATTTTAGGTTAACTAACGTTAAGTGTTTACTTCACATCCGCTGAAGCTATCTGGTATTTGTCGAATCTTTACAATATCTGTTTAATTAGTTTTATAATTTAGTGGTTACACTATTTCAATTGTCAAATAAATTAATGCATTACCTTACTTTGGTACAATCCTTTAGCGTAATTCAATTCAGTGCCAACATTTCAAAGGGGCGTAATTGCTTTTGTAAACAATGACTTTAGCCATCAATTTCTCGCGAATGAAATCTTACCTCTTCAAAATAACAATGCTAGCTGGTAGAGGAAACATTCCTCTACCTAATGGTGTCATTATTTTTCATGAGTGAGCTTTTATTCGCGAGAAATCGATGGCTAAAGCCATTGTTTACAAATGCAATTACGCCCCTTTGAAATGTTGGCACTGAATTGTGTGCAAACCATGCGAAATGAATATTTAAAATAATATTTATATGAAATATTGTTGCAATTGGTTTCACAATTCTAATGTGCAATATCATTTGCTTACCATATAGCCACTTTTGTTTGGCGAATTTTAGGCTATTTAATTCACTAATTTAGGTATTAACTAATTTACTTACTATTAAGGTTACTAAAGAGGAATAATAGTTCAATTGATAATAATAGTTTGTGTAATGATTGGCAAATTTTGCTCTTCAAGTGTTCTGAATTTATTATACTCAGTTGACGTCTCAGCAATCCTCTCGATGAACGCTGGGTGTGTCTTCGTTGACGGAGGGGTTTTCGCCAAAGGGCGTCACAAAAGCTACCCAAATTTTAAGTTTTTTTTTCTTTTAATTTTCATTACAGAAATCGAATGGCTATTAAGTAGCTTCCATTATATTTTATTTCGAAGATGCAGAAATAATTATTGTAACTTTACTTTAATAATGTAATTTAACTTATTAAAAAAAAATTAACAATAGCCCGAATCGGGAAAGCGATAAAGTGGACCGGTACGAACGCACGTGATCGCACCGGTCCACTTTTTTGCTTTCCCGAGCTTTTTCGGCCTTTTGTGATTCGGCCTTTTGTGTATTTCGGCCTTTTGTGTATTTCGGCCTTTTGTGTTTTCCGGCCTTTTGTGTTTTCGGCCTTCTGTGATTCGGCCTTTCGTAGTACTCCCCATTTTTTACCATGCGAGACAAGGATCTCAAAGACTATTCGATCAATTTTAGTGATTCTTCTGTCCGCGATGTAAAAATTAATTATTAAAATCTAACATAGGATTTTTTGGATATTACAACCTTTGCATTTTTATGCGCATTTGAGTAGCAATTTTTTCAACGAAAATTGAACTTTTTTTTATTTAGAACGTCACTATTTTGGTAATTTTGCAAACTTCGGAAAAATCCTGTTAGATTTTAGATATTTGAATGAAGAACACAATCCGATGTTTCAGTGCTGACTACGCTGTCCCGCAAGCGACAAATTAATCGCATCTGTCTGGTTGCAGGGCTGCCAACAGCGGAAAAATTAATATTTCGAGCTGAAAATTTTCGAAAATAAAGATGAAAAGTTGCCTAATAACTGGAAGTCTGACAAATTGCCGCAACTGTGAAAATTTGGGTTTAGTAAAAACAGCTTGACTCCGTTTGTTACGAAATATTATGTTTATTGATTCATTTTCCGCCTAGTTGCAAACAAGTTGCAACTTTAATATTCTTACTTTAATTTTAATACGGCTTAATTACACCGTATGTTAGATAAACAGATGTTAAAAAATAATATTTGCGATCATTTCGCTTTAGAGCTTGTGCAATGTGATATCAAGTATTTAAAACAAATGGTAATAGAACTAAAAACAAAGTAATACTTCAGTTCAAACAGTTAAGGAAAAACTCGTTCACGTAAGTTAGTCAAACGTGCCGAACAGATGTCGGCTGTGAAGGAAATCTTCAGATGTTCCATTGTTTGGAACGGGTGGGGATTCGTCTTCTACCGCGGAAGGATCGTTTATCATCGGTGTGATTCCAAATTCGAATCGGGCCGTTCCACCGTTGACAAATCCGAACTCTTCAGTCAAATGATCGACATCAACAAATGAATATTGGCCGTAGGTTAGCTCCTCCAGTTCAAACATTTCTTCTCCTACCATTCTGACGTGCTTGTCCGGATCGTTATTGTACAGCGTGACGAAAAACTTGCAGCTGAAATTTGAGAAGATAAAATTAGAATCCGAATCAAGGTAGGGTAGAGCACTACTTCGTCGTAATCGCCCATTTCCGTCCTATCGAACAGAAAAGATCAATAATATCAATGATTTCACCATGCACAAATCAATAATAGGTTTGTTCTGATGCGTAAGTTCATTGGCTACAACATAAATCCTGTAAGAGCGCATTGTATGAATATTTACGCTAATAGTTCTCAAAACAAAAGAAGCGCTCCTATCGAATCCCCTTTTTCTGTTTATCCGCAGGACGAAGAAAATCTAATGGCGTTTCAATGCGTTAGGACGGAATTGAAACTCGTAGAACGAATTTAGAATCAAGAAACAGTGTTAGATTTTAAACAATATCTCAACAATTTGTGACTCTTTATCAAATCTAACGGTACGTATGGAAAGGTGCATATATTTAGAAGTCATTTTTGACAGAAATTTTCTATTTTTTTGTTTAAACTTATTCAGAAAAGAGAGGTAAAGCGCGGGTTGTGGAATTTAGATCAAAAACACTATACGGTGATTTCTAGGATTTGTATTTAGTAGGTACCTACTACAAAAGTGTTTCGGTTTTAGCAACATGCTTCAATTTTTCATCTGACTGACAACAGAGTGTTTATATGGAGAAACTTTGTTTTGTTTTCGTTTTCAAGCACAGAAGGGGGTCATAGGGAGCATGCATTAAGTACATCACGCGAAATTTAGGGAAAATCAACCCCCTCACACCTTCACGTTTTTCCTATACCTAATGCATTGCTTGTCACACATTTGTAGATCGATACGCTTAAATTTCTGATATTACAATTCGCCTAAAGGTATACTCATTCATCGCTGAACTCTGGAGTCCTTTTAGATTGGGTCGTATGTAACATTTTTGTCAATCAGGGAGACGGAGTGTTTTGGTTTGGTGAACAAAAAATTGTTTCTATTTTCAATGAGATGGATAATTCTTTCAAAATTCCCTTTAACTAACATCTCAGGAGTGTTGCTATCAACTGAGTAAGGTATTGAGAGCGTTCCTGTTGAAAAACAAACGTTGTTTAATCAATCAATATTATACGACCTTTTGCCGTGTTTTTACGTGCGCTTTTTAGCGGTTTAAAAATGTATTATTATGAGTAATTACTCATGAAAAGCGTAGTTATCATTTTATAGACCACCCACAACCGTTTTACATTGAATATTTGGTAAATTTGCACTTTTATTAGAAAAAAACAACAGGTCTTATGTACAGTTTTTACGCTTCTGTCAACTTTGTTACATGCGACGATTGACACCCCCATAGAAGTTAGGTGTCGTATGTAACATTGAGATATATTTTTTGGTCAGTTGGCACATACGACGAATAGTTTTTTGATGAGAAAATGAAACAGAAATGAGGTAGCGGGCCCAAATTTTGCCTTTAGGAAGAGTAAGCAGAGTAGAGTCTGGTTGCATTAAAATGTCGATTTGTTTACGTTTGTTACATACGATTCAATCAAAAAGGACTCCAGAACTATTCTGCAGCCAGAAGAAATAAACAGCACGACCAATGAGATCAACCCAAATTTGAGTTGAGTGCAGAAACTCAGCGATGAGTAAATTTGTCTCATGTTTTCCTGTGGAAAACCTCGATTCTGCCGGAAAATAAGAAAAAAAAATAAATTTTTACTCAGTCTAGAAGTACTACCAATAGACTGACTGAATCCTATCTTGAGTTTTCTCATATTCGGGAATGTTTTTCTGGAAAAACCTGGAACACTCAGGAAAATTTACTCAGCACTGAGTTCCTGCACTTTTTTGGGATTTATGAGTAAATTGAACTCAAATTTGGGTAGATCTCATTGACCGTGAAGAAGATTCCTATCCCTTGCGATTGTAAGGATATGGCCAGGTGTATAATGCGATGCTTGATTTGTAGATTTTAATGTGTAGGAAAAACCACTAGTCCCAAGTGTTTTTCTTTTTCACGGTAACACACGATATTTTCTACAAAATGTATTGGTTGACCATTATAATATTGTATAACATTTTCACTTCGGACCTCCCTGATTTGCCTCAGGGTTGCCACAAATCTTTGTTCGCTGATGACACAGACATTTCCGCTAAAGAAAGAAGTCTTCGTGTTATTTGCAGCAGACTGCAGAAAAGTTTAGATATTTTCTCTTCTTATTTACAAAAATGGAAGATTCCTCCCAAACGCTTCCAAAACTCAACTTATAATATTTCCACATAAGCCTAGAGCTTCCTTTTTGAAACCTAGTAGTAGTCACATAGTCAGTATGAACGGAGTTCAAATTTCTTGGTCAAGTCAAGTAGGATTAGTACTTGAACAAAAATTAACTTTTAAAAATCACATTGAGGGTATTCAAGCCAAATGTATTTAAAAAATATTTAAAATGTTTGTATCCTCTTATAAACAGGAAATCCAAACTATGCCTGAAGAATAAACTTCTATTATTAAAACAAGATTTTTAGACCGGCCATGCTTTATGCTGTGCCAATATGGTCTAGTTGTTGCACTACCAGGAAAAAAGCACTTCAAAGGATTCAGAACAAAGCTCTGAAGATGATTTTGAAGTTGCCTCCCTGGTGCTGGAGTACTATACCGAGGTACATATAGAATTTTAAATGCTGAGACTTTAGAACAAATGTCCAACAAAATAATAAATAATTTCAGACAAAAATCGGTGCAATCCTCAAATGCCTTTAAACCTAGACAAGATTTAGTTTTAGTTTTTAGTTTTAAGATGACAATTGCTATACTGACATGCAGATTTAGAAAACCTGTTTAAAATACTGAACTGCCAAGGCAGAAACAATGTAAAAACAGTTAGATATATATCATAACAATTAAGACTGGAAAGTTACTGTAGTAACTGGAGCACCTAGGTTAAAATGAAATGTAATTTATTCTAAAATAGGAACAATAATTTAAAAAAATGCAAGCATACAGCATGAGATTAAGTCCTCTCACCTTCGCCAAACAGTCAAAAGTGATCAACGGTAGGGAAAATGTAAATCCCTTGTTCTAAAAAACAACACAAGCACTCCAACTGAACCCATTTTTGCCGTCATCCGTATGATGAAGTAAATCCATGACATTCGTATGTGTCTGTACCAAACACGTAGGACTGGTCAGAATTTGGAATCAACAAGTAGAGTTGTATGTTTAACAAAATATATACAATGTGTGACTATTGATTGGTAAATAAATTTAAAAGTAATATGAAGTAAGTATAAACATTCCATTTTTTTGTAAAAATCCGTCCGAAAAAGAGAGGTAAAGTGCGGTTTTGTGCTTAGAAGGCCGAAAATTAGATCTAAACCGTGCATTATTCCGTAAGAGTGCATCATTAATAGCCCACGAATAGCTTCATCCACCACCTATCCAGAGGGATCCAGAACACTTGCCCGTCAATCGCAACCCTCGTATACTTTTTCTTGATCCCATCCCAACCTCCTTATAAAGTGTAGCCCGTAACCTCGAGTAAGCCGCGAGTATTCACCCCCCCCCCCCCCCCCTTTAACTACCTTTAGTTTTAAGAAACACTGTAAAACGCAAATTGAATTACGGCTCCGCAAAGCAACCGCAACTATTAAGGCTCAAATAAATTAATAACAAAACAGTGTCGTAGCTAGATGGCGGGATTTAATTTTTATCTCTTTGTCAGTTGGTATACTGGATGGCTGAAAATGCTATAATAGATCTTCTCTTTTTAATAAATTGTGCACTTGTGCAATTGCCCTCTTGGTGCTGAGTGGATTGGAAATTATCAGGTTATTTAAAAATGAGCATATCGTTCTTTGCTAGAAAAGATACCTACTTGCTTTTGGGACCACTGAGCTGCACAATGTACGCCCCAAGACAAGCCTTCGCCTGCTTGTTGCGGCGTTTCTTGATGTTTCGCTTCAATCGGAGACACCATTCGATGCCCTGGCTGTCCATGAGAGGATGGGACAGAACAAAATCTCCATCATTGACCAGCGTTTCGAGCGACAGGAAAAAGTTGCTACTGGATCGAAGTTTTCTATAAGCAAAATAGAACATGCAATACGATTTATCTTACTAGAGTTCAGGATTATTAGCTTACAATTGGTTAACCTCATCCTTGAGGTCGGTAACCTCTTCAGCAACGCCATGGCGAAATTTATTGTTTTCATCGATGTGTAGATAATTTTCCACAACAATACTGACTGGTTTGATTGCGATGCGCATCATCAACATGTTATGACCTTCGGTGCTAATATAACCGTTTTCCTTCAAAAACGTCATGTCAACAAGTTCCATTTTCTGGTCACAGTGTTGAATGACGAAAGAGTGGTTAATCGTCTTCATGAAATCGTCATGAAGTATTTCAATCACCACCTTGTGCTTGTACCTGCAGATATAGTAGAAAAATGCACTCCTAATGAACGGAAGGACACTAGAGAACTGAAATACCATACATTTCGTGTCTTTTGTTCTTTGGAGAAAATAGCATACTGAACTTCTGCTCGATAAAGGCCGTCAGCGACCACGGGAAACCAGATGCATCAAAAATCATAAAAGAAACGGGGTATTTCTTCTTATATATGTTTTCGATAAAGACCGGTAGCATAATCAATTTCGGAATTAACGAACTGTAAAAAAGAGTAAGAGTATAAGGTGCATATTTAACATGAAAGTGGTATGCACGATATATCACACAATATGCGATATTACAGGAGGGGCACAATTAAGTTAGTAAGGAAAGGAAGCCTAACATACAATACAGAACATTTGGTAGATCTTACACTTCAATGCACCATCAAGTAAGTGATCTTCAATCAACATTAAGGTAAGTAGGTATTAAATAACATTTAAAAAAAAAATCAAACCATTTGATGTTGTGACACTCGACCAACTCGTGAGGTGCATCAATAACGGGTGGCATCTGTTGTGAGATTTGTCCCAGTGTTTCCACATACTTTTGGATGAATTCCATCTTCGACATGCTGTTGATCCTTTTCTCCCAATCGTGCCGGTACAATTCTTTCTTGATTGGCTGTTTCAACTTGGCCAGAAGAAGCTCCTTCCGTTTTTGCACCGAACGTCGTATGTCGCCTTTAGCTGATTGCCCCAAGGCATCAACCTCAGCGATCAACTCCATCTCGTTAGCGGTTATCATTTCTAGGTTTTTGGACACCCGCTTGTTATCCTCATCTCGACATTTGAACGCGACTGTAAGTTCATCGAGTTTCTTGGTGACAAGTTCCATCCGCTGCTGGTAAAGTTTCTCCAATTGTCCGAAAGTGTGACCATCGTGGCTACTGGATTGGAGCGGGCAATCGGCACAAACACCCCGCTCGCAATTCAAGCAGTAATAGGTCATGATCTTACCATGGAACGTGCAAACCGTAAATTGGGTGGACAACCGCTCTGCACAGGTTTGGCATATGTAGCGACCATCGTGAAATCCGTCGTGGGGACACATCAGAAACAGACTTTGGTTACATTCGCCGCATTCTGTAATTAACGGTAGCGATCCGTACTCCGGACAAATCTCACAGTAAAAATGCTCTCGCATGCGCTTATTAGGATACATTTCAGCCATATTTTCAGTAATTGTTTGCCAACCTATCAGAACACGCTACAACTTTATCGTTTGAACGAAAATATACAAAAATAAAACAAAAAAAAGTTCAACAGATTCACAGAAGACAACAATTTAACAAGCAACGAGCGAGCTAAATTTTCGACTGTACTGTTTTACAGGTTTCGCTTCGCACGATCACACTACCACCACTATATTATAGAGAGATTGATGACGTTTATCGTACGCACACTACGTCACGTATACGTATACGCACACGGCGAATGAGAACGACCCAAATTTGAGTTTAGTCAACTCATAAATCACATAAAGTGCAGGAACTCAGCGATGAGTAAATTTGAGTAGTGAGTTCTCATTCGCGAGTGCACGCAATGAGCTACAGAGAGAGGTGAAGCAGATCGTGAAATATGGTTGTATTAGTAAACCAAAAAATCAACACAAACGCAATTAGTGACGTCACTAATTGCTTGTATCTTACATGGGTTTCACTCACCCAACTTAACCGATTGCTTCACCTCAGTAATCCAGCTCATTGGAGTGCACGAATGGATTTGAGTTCACTCACTCGACAAAAAGTGACACAACAGTGGGGCCCTGTGTACGAAAAATGAACACATGAATAATACTCGCGTAACATTTTAAGCGAGCCTATCAACTTTTGTACACAAAACTTGTTAAGCCCTTTTCGTGTGAACTGAATACTCTCACGCAAACTAACAACACTGTCGGGTAGGGGAAATTCTCCCCTTCCCGATAGTGCTCTTGATTTGCGTGAGCGCACTTCGGTTCTCGTGAAAAGGAGCTAGCAAATTATTTACAAAAGTTTATAGGCCCTTTTCAAATGTTACACGAGCATTATTCATGTGTTCATTTTTAGTAAACAGGGCCCCGCTGTTGTGTCAATTTTTTTCAGTAGATGAACAAAAGTTCACCCGTGCACTCGTCTATTAGGTTCTGCAGCGTGACGTCACGAATGAACTCAGTTTTAATAGGCTGAACCTTTTTGACAGTTCAGTGGTACTGTTTACAAGCACTTAGTCGATATTTCGAAATTAAATATTCTAAAATTACCGAACTTTAAGTTGAAAATTGTCGAGGAACAGCGCGATGAAACGAGGGGGGCGACACATCTAAATCTCAAGTTTAGATGCTCAACAAATCTCACACTAGCGAATCAATCTTCGAAAAATCATCTTTCACTTGTCGCATCTACTTGCATCGCTCATCATCTTTTTGCAGGAAATCTTCAGAATCGTCATCAATCTTCTTTCTATCTACTCAGCTTGCGCGCAGCTAGTCACAGCAAAACACAATCTTTTTTGCATCGTAGATAGAGTCGTCCTCCTCGCGATGAAAGGATGTTGCTCGTGGACAATGCAGAAGTGTGGTTTACATCTCACTGCAGTTTGAAAAATTATCGAGAAAATCTACCCAAGAAAAAAAACGACTAAGTCCACGTCCACGTAAACAGTACCACTGAACTGTCATCAGATTGAGGTTAATCCCGACGGTGCAAAACCTAATAGTCCTCTCCAGGCGGGTTCGTATTGACAAATCCATGTTTCAATCGACCATCGTGACGCTCGCAGCGGTGATAAGTCCGAAATAATGTGTCAAACTGAATACATTTTTAAAATTTCAACCAAAAAACTACTATTTTCTATTTATTCTAGCGAGTTTCTGTGGAAGTCAAAACATGATCCGAGCAAAAAAGTAGTACTCGTAATAATGGTATATAATGCTGAATTTTATCGTGCTTTGTTTCGAAAATATCTTCCAAATAAACAAACATCATCCAGATCACCCAATTCGTCCACCGACTAAATCTATTGCCACTTAAAAATTAATTTCAGTCGGTGTATTAATCAGCAGATTAAATCGTTTTTCGTCTGGTGCTATACCGAGCAATCGGCCTATTTAATAGTTTTTCGTCGATTGATTTAGTCGGCCAACTTTGTCTGTTGTTTAATCGGCAGATGATTTCAAACCTTAACATGTTTTCAGTAATTTATAACACGGAACCAAATTTTGTTCATTTAAGTTAAAAATATATATGTTTATTGAATAAAAATATGCATAGTTCAAAGTAAATTAAAAACATGTTTTCAACAAAAATATGTATGTTTAAAATAAATTCAAAAGCATGTTTATTTCAACAATACATAATCTGGGAAATCAATTTTTAGCGTGTCCTTTTTTCCTTCTTGTTTACATTCGGCAAACTTAACCGAAAACGGCCTGCAAGCGGCGAAACCGAAGTAGAGGGTCCGGAAACCCATGCAAGCAAATGTTCCAAGCTCGACAAAACCGGTGGAACATCACAATATTAACGTCAATCCGTCGTTTCTGATACCGATCCCCATATCATCCTCACCCCCCACCCGACGTCGAATGAAAAACAGATCATCCCGAACAGCGTCAGAAACGACAAGATGACGCTAATATCACAATGTTTCACCAGTTTTACTGAACTGGATCGGATCGGACACCCACCCCGACGGCCTCTCGGATCCAAACATCCACAGACTTTTCATAATCGTAGGAATTTCCAATAATTTCGAGATTAATTTGCTATCCATTTTATTTTGATTTATTCAGCATTCAAATGCTAAAATAATTTCAAAACATGTTTGTTTATTTTAAACATGAAAAGCATGTTTAAAATAAACATATTAATTTTTGATTGCATATAGGTTTCAAATAAATCAAAAATATTCACGTTTATTTTCAACACGAATATTTTTAAAATAAACGTAACATTATTTTTGTTTTAAACATTATTATCAATGGATTCAAACGTAGAATACGTTTGAAATCAACCTAATTTATGTTTGTGGCCAGAACAAACTGAGTTTACGTTTAAATTTACCTCATATATTTTTGTTTCGACGGTAAATTTTTCTGCGTGAAGTCTTGAAGTAGCTTTTTATTTAAGAACAATGCATTACAAAATAGTTTTATGCATTTTGTACAAGATTCATCCATGCTGACAAGAAATTTTCATGAAATTATTGAAATTAAATAATTTTGCAAACAATCAATGAAATTTTCAAGGGCTGTCACAGACTTATCACCGTCGGTTAGTGCTTATTCCTGCCACCAGGCGCGTATGAGTTTAAGTTGGATTTCTCAATTCAACGTCTCTGCCTACACGCTAACTTCAAAGTACCCATTAATGAGTAAAATTTTACCCATTTCGAAGAAAAGTGGCTTAACTCATGAAATGAGTAAAACCACCCAACTGTAAGTGCAAGTGTCTTTGTTTCGAGTATTTTTTAGATTATCGTGGTTTTTTGTTTAGTTCCGTAAAAGTGTAAAAAAATGGCAGGTAATGTTCGTGAGTGTTGTGCAGTTTTCTCCGTTGTCAAACTCCCTAGTAGGCAGAGGTAGGACAGCTTACTGTAGAACGCAACAATCCACCCCACCGAAAATTACAAAAACCCGCCACCAGATAGACAAACAACTGCCTGTTGGGAGGCCATGGGGGGTGGCGATAGAGATGGCCATTTTGAATGGACGATAACGGGCACGACAAACTGGCGATGAACGACGAATGGCCCGGGTCACTGGCCGACAGCCTGGAGCAGTGACCCAATGACTCACTCAACTCTGAAATTAATAATGACTGATCGTAAGACCACCAGCGAAAACGGTTTATCAAGAAAGCAAGCCAGCTAAATTGACGCAAGTAAGAGTGGAAACAGTGAAAAAGTGTGAGGAGAGAGTCAAGGACAGCAGGACCCCGCTGTATTTAGTACAAATCACCTGTACGCAGTGAAGTTCCGGTAGACGTACCGGAAGGTTACACCGTCATTGCCTGCCGGCCGAGTTCGTCACCAACTCACAGGCCCAGGAGAGTAACCTGGTGCTCGTCATCGCCACCCCGTACAGCAAGCGCGCGAACGAGATACACGACGAGAAAGTGGAGAGGAAGCGGACGTCGACCGAGGACAAGCGGTCGACAATCGAAGACACATAGTGGAGGTGTTGCGAGGGGCCCCGACGAAGAAACCAGGTCAGATAGATTGTAAGAAAGTGGGAGAATAAGGTAGTAAAGAGGGAGAATAAAAGTTCAGGAAAGTGCAATAAATGTCTATTCTTGAGTAGTGAAGTGCTTGTGGAGTTTTTTCTGTGTGTCACGTGCGATCATTCCCTGCCCGCGTAATTGCAATCGGTAAGCGTGCCGACCCTGAGGCCATTGGAGTCAGGGAGTCTCGAAAGTGCTCCTGACTGAGGTGGCTGACACTTACACTTTGGCGCCCAACTTAAAATTGTCTTATCGGCAGTTGTTTTAAGAATACAGCTCGGAAGATCGCACTTGATAGAGCTGGTTTCTACAGAGGTCTCTGAGAAAACATCCAGGCCTTCACAAGTCTCTTAGCACATTTGACATTATTACTTTACCTGACCCAGTTTAACAAATATTTTATTTGCAATGGAGGGGTTCTGATTGTCCGTAAAAAAGTAACAAAGAACGATTGTTCAAAAAGTGAGTAACAAGTAGATTGAATTCAAAGGAGCGAACTGTTTATCCGTGTGCGTGGTGTGTTTTCGGAAGGAGTTATTAAAACACCAGAAAGGAAAAGTGATTTATTTCTGAATTTGAAACTAGGATTTTACAATTATTAGGATTTTCAAATTAATTTTCAGCGTGAAAGACCGCTAAGCGTAATATAGGTAGTTCTTTTTAATTTTTCTTTTTATAATTTTGCTTAAATTTCACGCAAACATTGCATAATGGAATTAATTCACTTTGAGACGCAGTACCACGCGCTCAATACTGCTCATCTGGCTGATGACGAACTCCATCATGAATTGCGGATTCGTGGTGTGAACATGGATGATGAATCGCGTAGTAAACAGGAGAGAGCCTTGCGGAATTTGTTGAAAGCTGAAAAAGAAGTGAGAAGATTAAGTTTCAAATACGATGAGATTGCGTTGATTGATGAGTTGAAATGGTGTGATGAAAAGCTACAGGGTGTAAAATCCATATTGGAAGGCAAGAAAATACGAAAAGCCCCTGATCAAAAATTCAAATCCAAGCTTCTTCACATTTTATTCAGAATGAAACGGTTGAGGACACAGGCAGAAGAAGAAGAAGATTTGAATAGCATAGCAACGATAGCAGGAGAATGTATCAGGTTATTAAATCTATTTTACTCAATCACTTCACCACTCTCCGAAGTGAGAGAAGCTGAGATAGCAATCGTAAATGAAAGCCTACGACAAGTCCGCGAAGAAATAGATGAGAGGAATGAGAATGAAAATGAAGAAGTAGAGTCCATAGTTGGTCAGAGTGAAGTGGTACAAACGCGAGAACAGGAGAGTGTGAGCAGTGAGCATGTGAACGAAAGTATTAGGAGAGAGGAATATGAGGAGAATTCTGACGATGTTGGTGCTGTAGGTGGAGATGATGTGATTGGTGAAAAAGAGAACGAAAGAGTTGCAGAGCTTTCGGATGAGAATAGGCGACTAATGGCAACAGTAGGTCAGCTGATTCAGCGTATTAAAGCTTTGGAAGCTTTGACTGCAACCAAACATCGTGAAGGAAATGAACCAATCAAACAAAGCACTAGTACACCGTTAGAGCAAAGTTCGATACAACATGAGAAAGATGCGCGTCAGAAAGCTAATCAGCAGGATTTTTGTGAATGGGTGAAGAATAAATATGGTTCGATTCAGAGTGTAGTAGAAGAAAAGAGATTTACTCAGTCCTCCCATCATGCAGACAAGAGCAATAGGAAGAAAGTAGAGATAGATAGGGCAAGAACTAGCCGATTACCGGTGCATAAATGGTCAGCAAAGTACGATGGGATGGATAATGGGAGAAAGCTAAACGAATTCCTCAAAGAAGTTGAATTTAATGCAAGGTCGGAAGGATGCACAGAAGCAGAATTGTTCGTATCTGCACATCATCTGTTTACGCGGAAAGCTAGGTCGTGGTTTATGGAAGTCAATGGGAACAATGAGTTAGGATCGTGGGAGAATCTGGTAACTGAACTTAAAAGCGAGTTCTTACCTGTAGACATTGATTACCAGTATGAACGTCTGGCGAATGCGCGAAAGCAAGGTCCTAGGGAGAAATTCCAGGACTATTATCTGGATATGGTACGAATTTTCCGGAGTATGTCGAGACAATGGGATGATGCCAGAAAGTTCGATGTGCTTTTCCGGAACACCAGAGCAGATTGCAGAACGGCGATGTTGGCTGCGAACGTGACCTCCATTCCTAAGATGAGGGAATTTGGAAAAAAGTTCGATAGTATTAATTGGCAGGTTTATGCAAGAAAGGAGAGTAGATTTGAAAGGCCAAATGGTCAAGTCGAGGAAATCAGTCAGCAGAATCAATACCGAGGTGGGAATGGATTAAACAATAGATTTCCATCAGGATACACAGGAGGATACCAAGGACGAAATTTTAACCCAAATTTTAAACCCGGAGGTAAACAAATTCCACCTGAGAGGAACAAAATTCAGGGTGAACATAATCAACAGAAATTTCAACCAAAACAGAAGCCAATCCAGCAGAACAACCAAAATCATCAACGAAGACAGGAAAACCCAAAACCAGGTCCGAGCGGTACCAGTGCGTTACAAAGGATTGTAAAAGCATACATTCCGATAAAACGTAGTTTATGTTTTAATTGCCACGAGGAGGGGCACAGTTTTCATGAGTGTGAACAAGAACGCCACGTCTTTTGTGAGAAATGTGGTTTTCCAGGGTTCCCCACGAATGACTGCCCATTCTGCGAATCAAAAAACGCCAAGAAGACTGCTCAATGAGGCAGAGCAGTCAAATCGTCTCCGAAAGTCCTCAACACGTATCGCCGGAAGATCCAGCATCCAGTCTCCAGGAATTAGGATACTCAATCGTGGAAGGACGTGCCACAATGCGGGAGGAGATAGCAACATTGCTCGTCAAGCTTAGTGGAGACGCCCGGCCATTTACAAGGATTGAATTGATGGGGATTGATGTGATTGGGCTTCTAGACAGTGGAGCAGCACGGACGGTTCTAGGGATCGGAGCGAGCAAAATCATTAAAAAACTTAATTTGAAGCTTCAACCAACTTCAGTCAATTTGAGGACAGCAGCTGGGGATGAGCTAGAAGTCCAAGGATGTGCAGACATTCCAATCACATTCAATGGCACTACGAAAATTTTGCCTGTACTAATCGCTCCGAATCTAAACCGTAGGTGTGTGCTAGGCTACGATTTTTGGCTAAAATTTGGGATTAGACCAACTATTCGAGATGATCCAGTTGAGATCTTAGATGATGACGTTAGCAGGGAAGTAGAGATGGAGGATGAGCTAACGGAGGAACAGAAGATACAACTGGAAAATGTGAAAAAGGAGTATTTAGTCGCAGAACCTGGAAATTTCGGAGCAACTAACCGAATAATACATACGATCGAATTGAAGGAGGAATTTAGGGAAACAGATCCGGTTAGAAAGAACCCGTATCCATGGAGTCCAGTGATACAGCAGAAAATTCACGGAGCACTGGACGACATGATTAGAGATGGGATCGTTGAGCAATCTAACTCAGATTGGGCTTTACCAGTAGTACCTGTTGCAAAGAGGGACAGTCAAGAAGTAAGACTGTGCTTAGACGCCAGAAAATTGAATGAGAGGACCAAAAGGGACGCTTACCCATTACCGCACCAGAACAGAATTTTGAGTCATTTGGGGCCGGTCAAATATTTGACGACCATTGACTTATCGCAAGCCTTTCTACAGATTCCGTTGAGCCCGGACTCTAGAAAGTACACTGCCTTTTCAATCCCAGGTAGAGGGCTGTTTCAATTTACACGGCTTCCGTTTGGGTTGGTAAACAGTCCTGCTACTCTGAGTAAATTGATGGATCGTGTGCTTAGTCACGGTGCTTTAGAACCAGCAATATTCGTTTATTTAGACGATATTGTGATTGTCAGCCAAACTTTCGAAGAGCATATTCAAAAACTTCAAGACCTAGCGAAGCGTTTACGAGAAGCAAACTTGTGCATAAATGTAAAAAAATCTAAATTTTGCTGCAAAGAATTGCCGCATCTTGGGTACATTTTGTCTCAAGATGGATTACGGCCTAATCCAGATCGTGTACAGGCGATCTTAGGATATCAGGTTCCGAAATCGGTTAGACAACTTCGTCGATTCCTCGGTATGATCAATTACTACCGTAGGTTCATCGCAAATTATAGTGAAATTACAGCACCTCTCACTGACTTATTGAAAAATAAGCCAAAGAGGGTGCAATGGAACACAGCAGCTGATAATGCATTTCAGGTCATCAAGGAGAGACTAATCTCTGCTCCTGTGATGGCCAACCCGAATTTTATGCTTCCCTTTACGGTCCAAACGGATGCAAGCGACAACGCTATCGCAGGGGTCTTGACGCAGGTGCATAATGGGGAGGAGAAGGTCATAGCGTATCACTCCGAAAAGCTCAAGGGAGCGGAGTTGCACTACCACGCGGCAGAAAAGGAAGGACTCGCTGCGCTCCACTGCATAGAAAAGTTTAGAGGTTATATAGAGGGGACGAAGTTTACTCTTGTGACGGATTCCTCTGCCTTGACTTTTATAATGCGAGCGAAATGGCGGTCTTCCTCACGGCTCAGTCGCTGGAGCATCGAACTTCAACAACATGACATGGAGATCCGTCATCGTAAAGGGAAAGAGAATATTATTCCCGACGCGCTCTCCCGATCTATCGAAACGCTGGATGATGAGCCCGATGACGGATGGTACAAGAAACTGTTAGCAACAGTGAAGGAAGATCCTGAGAAGTACTTAGACTTCAAAATTGTAGATGGAGTTCTCTACAAGTTTGTAGCCGCTAGGTCCGACTTAATGGACTACCGGTTTGAATGGAAGCAGTGTGTTCCAACTTCAAAACGAACCCAGATCCTGAAACAGGAACACGACCAAAATCTCCACATTGCATACATAAAATGTGTTGAGAAAATCAAACGAAAGTTTTACTGGCCTCGCATGAGCGGCGATATTAAAAAATATATCGCCAACTGCGAGCTATGCAAGGAAAATAAACACTCTATCGTGTCGACAGCTCCGGAAATGGGGAAGCAGAGGATTTCTTCACGACCTTTTCAAATAATTTGCATGGATTACATCCAGTCCCTTCCCAGAAGCAAGCAAGGCAACGCGCACTTATTGGTGGTCATGGACCTCTTTTCTAAGTATTGCTTACTTGCTCCTGTTAAGAAGATCTCGACGGTCTCGCTGTGCAAAATATTAGAGGAGCAATGGTTTAGGAAATTCTCTACACCTCAAATCGTCATCACGGACAATGCAACAACTTTCTTGTCGAAAGATTTCCATAATCTGCTTGAGAAATATGATGTTCAACATTGGGCGAATGCTCGCCATAGGAGCCAGGCAAATCCGGCTGAACGACTCAACAGAACGATTAACGCAATGATTCGTTCATACGTAAAACATGACCAAAAACTTTGGGACACGAAGATTTCGGAGATGGAATTCGTACTGAATAATACGATCCATACGACGACCAAATTCAGCCCATATTGCGTAGTGTTTGGTCACGAAATCATCAGCAAAGGATCTGAGCATAGACTGGAGGCGATCACAGAGCAAACCGAAGAGCAGAGAATGGAAAGGTGGAGAGGTGTAAACAAAAGGATCAGTGAGTTGGTAAGAGATCATCTCCAGAAAGCTCATGAGGACACGAAGAGACGATACGATCTCCGACATAAGCGTTACTCACCAACGTTTGATGTGGGTCAGCGTGTGTATAAACGGAGTTTTCGTCAGTCGTCTGCTGGAATCCAATTCAACGCGAAGCTGGGACCTCAATACACACCATGCGTCATCCTCCGGAAAGTCGGTACCAGTTCGTACGAGGTGTCGGACTTAAACGGAAAATCGTTGGGTGTATTCTCAGCTGCGGATTTAAAAGCATAGTTCCCTTAAAAAAAGAAAAGAAGAATAAGAGCTCTAAATCATATCATTTCAATTATGCAATCCAGAAGTTGAAGGTTTTAATGTGGAAAGGGATAGATATTTTAGTGAATAATCATGTTTTAATGTACCTGTCCTTCCATGGTTTAGAAAATCAGCTTCCAAAAATAACAGGAAAACCCCGGGGTAGAAGAACGCAAACCAATGCGTGAGTAGCATGAATATTCAGTTGCATCCATATTATATTTGTAAATACGGCCGTTTAAAAATAGCAACGTTGTTTAGTAGTTGATTGCGCACTGTAGTTTGATAGTTTTAATCTAGTAGTATTGTAGATTTGCATGTTTACCTAAAATTTTAGAAATTGTATGGTTATTTTCATATTTTAGTTCCCAAAAGGGGATAATTTTCTTTTAATTTGTTTGTTTTGTATTGGTATTCAAAGTCAGAATGTTAAAGCGCACCGTATATCGTCTGTATGTTTCAACTGTCTTGAAAACAAAGTTATAAACAAGTTTTAACTTCGAATACAGTCAGTCAGCAAGCTATTGTGCAGAGATGTATGTGTGTAAATGAGCTGTGTGTTAAAAAATTGTGTCAAGGTCATGATCAAGTCAATATAGTAAAACAATAGAACACGAAATCGATGAGTTTTACTCATATTCTAGCAGATTTCACTTTCGTTATACATACTCACCATTCACATATTGTCACGTGATCAACAAAAGAAGTGCAGAGATGAGCTTCTAGTAAGAAATGTACATGATCAACTAAGTGAAAAATCAAAACCAATGGAAAGATCAATTGGCCAATATTTTTAATAAAAATCTATCATGATATGATGATATTTCGCAGCCGGCAAATCAAATAATTTCTTATTAAAACCTCATCATTACTTACCACATGTTATCATCATCGCATCAGAATCACTATTGACAGCAGTTTGACAATGTTTCTAAGAAGACCGAACCAAGATCACGCACACAGATAAATCAGTGATAACGTTATCTCGAAAAACGTACTAGAACACAACTCCGACAAGTCGCGTGAAATGTTTCGTGCACCATTCGCATGACTCAATTATTGTATATATATATGCTCCAAGTTATTAATATTTTGTTTTGATTTAAAAATTGATAGTAAATGGAATATTGCATGTAGTAAATAGTTATGTTATAGTAAATGTCTTTTTAAACAATCGGTGAAAATTTAGCTAATTTGTTTCGAGGTTACTAGGTGTAAAAACCTATGTATTTGATCGCTGGAGACCGGAGTCTATGAACACTGATGGTCAGTATTGATATAATGTCATAAAATTGAGAGGAGTTGATTAAGTTCAACGATGAAAACTTATGACCCCGATACTCGATGATTAATAGCAACCTTCACATACTTTTTATTTTTGTATAGTCATCTTAACCCTGTACGTTACAATGTATATATTTCGCAAACTTCAGTCAGTTGCAGTGATTTTGTCCTGGTGATAATATTCTTGTGTTGTGTAGGTTCAGAGGTACGTGTAACCGGGGAAGTCTTGTGAGGTTTGAAGCAAAAATATTTACTTTGTAAATATTTTTACCCGAGCTGAGGGAGAGTGTAAGTGCAAGTGTCTTTGTTTCGAGTATTTTTTAGATTATCGTGGTTTTTTGTTTAGTTCCGTAAAAGTGTAAAAAAATGGCAGGTAATGTTCGTGAGTGTTGTGCAGTTTTCTCCGTTGTCAAACTCCCTAGTAGGCAGAGGTAGGACAGCTTACTGTAGAACGCAACAATCCACCCCACCGAAAATTACAAAAACCCGCCACCAGATGGACAAACAACTGCCTGTTGGGAGGCCATGGGGGGTGGCGATAGAGATGGCCATTTTGAATGGACGATAACGGGCACGACAAACTGGCGATGAACGACGAATGGCCCGGGTCACTGGCCGACAGCCTGGAGCAGTGACCCAATGACTCACTCAACTCTGAAATTAATAATGACTGATCGTAAGACCACCAGCGAAAACGGTTTATCAAGAAAGCAAGCCAGCTAAATTGACGCAAGTAAGAGTGGAAACAGTGAAAAAGTGTGAGGAGAGAGTCAAGGACAGCAGGACCCCGCTGTATTTAGTACAAATCACCTGTACGCAGTGAAGTTCCGGTAGACGTACCGGAAGGTTACACCGTCATTGCCTGCCGGCCGAGTTCGTCACCAACTCACAGGCCCAGGAAGAGTAACCTGGTGCTCGTCATCGCCACCCCGTACAGCAAGCGCGCGAACGAGATACACGACGAGAAAGTGGAGAGGAAGCGGACGTCGACCGAGGACAAGCGGTCGACAATCGAAGACACATAGTGGAGGTGTTGCGAGGGGCCCCGACGAAGAAACCAGGTCAGATAGATTGTAAGAAAGTGGGAGAATAAGGTAGTAAAGAGGGAGAATAAAAGTTCAGGAAAGTGCAATAAATGTCTATTCTTGAGTAGTGAAGTGCTTGTGGAGTTTTTTCTGTGTGTCACGTGCGATCATTCCCTGCCCGCGTAATTGCAATCGGTAAGCGTGCCGACCCTGAGGCCATTGGAGTCAGGGAGTCTCGAAAGTGCTCCTGACTGAGGTGGCTGACACTTACACAACAAACAATTGAGAGCTCTTATAAAACACCTGAGTTGATCAAACGTTGAATAATAGCTTCCAGAGTTGAACAAGAATGTAGTTGTATTGCCATTTGATTAAAAGTTATAAAAGCTGTTGGAGCACTCTTAAATAATTGTTTACGTTCGGTTTACCTATATGCTTTATAAGACCTACGATAACTTTTATAGCACCTTAGTTAAACCGATTGACAAGAGCTATATAGAACGTGGAATAAACGCATCAAAACAAAACATTGGGAGCTCTTATACAACACCTGCGTTGATCAAACGTTGAATAATAGCTTCCAGAGTTGAACAAGAATGTAGTTGTATTGCCTTTTTGGTTAGAAGCTTCAAAAACTGCTTGGAGCACTCTTAAATGATTGTTTACGTTCAGTTAAACTGTTTGACAGGAGCCATATAGGATGTGGAATAAACGCATCAAAACAAACCATTGGGAGCTCTTATACAACACCTGAGTTGATCAAACGTTGAATAATAGCTTCCAGAGTTGAACAAAAATGTAGTTGTATTGCCTTTTTGGTTAGAAGCTTCAAAAACTGCTTGGAGCACTCTTAAATGATTGTTTACGTTCAGTTAAACTGTTTGACAGGAGCCATATAGGATGTGGAATAAACGCATCAAAACAAACCATTGGGAGCTCTTATACAACACCTGAGTTGATCAAACGTTGAATAATAGCTTCCAGAGTTGAACAAGAATGTAGTTGTATTGCCTTTTTGGTTAGAAGCTTCAAAAGCTGCTTGGAGCACTCTTAAATGATTGTTTACGTTCGGTTTAACTATATGCTTTATAAGACCTACGATAACTTTTATAGCACCTTTGTTAAACCGATTGACAAGAGCTATATAGAACGTGGAATAAACGCATCAAAACAAACCATTGGAAGCTCTTATAAAACACCTGAGTTGATCAAACGTTGAATAATAGCTTCCAGAGTTGAACAAGAATGTAGTTGTATTGCCATTTGATTAAAAGTTTTAAAAGCTGTTGAAGCACTCTTAAATGATTGTTTACGTTCGACCAACCACCAACCACAATTTTGTTGCTAAAAATAGCACAAGTGATAGGCACGTTTATATGACCATAAGGCAATGATTATTCGACTGCAAGAGAAGTCACTCAAGATGAGCTTAATATACTTCTCTCATATGATCAAAATATGTATTCAAGAATAGAGCAGATGGAAACAGAAGCGGCTGGCAATCCGGGATCATGAGTTCGAATCTTGCTTCGAGAGACCCTCGGTGGAGTAGAGGTAAATTATATATAGGTGTTATTAATAAATGCAATCATTAATTTAAGACATATATCATATAATCAACGATAACATTTCTAGATAAATTCTCTCAATTAATGATTAGAGAGATTAATTGAAAGAATATCAATCAAAGATTAAACAGATGCTTGTTACTACTTCTCCTCCATGATCACAGAATGTGAATTATGGCATAATTACATATTTTTTCAATGTGCACAAATAAATTAAATTAATAAAAACTGTACAAGTAATTATTTTGGCGTACCACGACAATTGTTAAACTAATTTTAATATGTGAATATTGTGAGTACTTACACAACGGTTATTAAGGAGTCATTGAAAAGTGCTATAAACGCTTTTCACCGCTTGCTGTACAATGATTATTTAGGAGTCAAAAAGAGTGCAACAAACGCCTTTCAGGTTTACTCTCTACTAAATTTCAAAGCAGCTGTCAGGAAGTGTCTACAAACGTTGTATACGAGCTTTCACCAAAACAATAAAGCTTGACTTTAAATATGCATCTATAAACGTTGTATAAAAGTTTCTTCTATCCGGTTGTTAAGGAGTCATTGAAAAGTGCTATAAACGCTTTTCACCGGTTGCTGTTCAATTAATATTTAGGAGTCATAAAAGAGTGTAACAAACGCCTCTCAGGTTTCCTCTCTACTAAATTTCAAAGCAGCTGTCAGGAAGTGTCTACAAACGTTGTATAAGAGCTTTAACCAAAACAATAAAGCTTGACTTTAAATATATGTATCTATAAACGTTGTATAAAAGTTGCTTCTACTCCTATACCGCGTATACATATAATGCTGTAGTTGAACAGGTTCTCCAAACCAGTGTAAACAAGAGTTTTACAGAAGTTGTAATAAACAAATTGTACAGTTATTATTCAGCATGCAGTTGAATAAAATCACAATGGAAGCGTTTCTTCAACAAGAAATTGATTTTGGGCAAAAGTTTTACTGAATACGTTAGACAACACCTTTGTGTTGCAGTTGTATAGGTTCTACAAACCAGTGTAAACAAGGGTTTTATAAAAGTTGTGGTGAACACATTGTGCAATTATTATTCAACATGCAGCTGAACAAAATCAAAACGAAAGCGTTTCTTCAACTGGAAATTGTTACTTGGGCACCCGAATAGAAATTGTAATGTAGGAAACATCAGCAGACATCTTCAATACATTAAATTTTAACGTATATTGCTGTACCCTTAATGTATTCAGACTTCAGTGTGACGTCCAAGTACATAAAAATACATTAGCCTCAAACGTTACATCAGAATCAAACGTCTTGACGATGTAAAATTTGACATCAGAATACATCCAACGACAACAGAACCTAACGTTACATTAGAATCAAACTTCATCACGATGTAATATGTTGCACGCATAAAACATCAGAATACATCCAATGACAACAGAACCTAACGTTACATTAGAATCAAACTTCATCACGATGTAATTTGTTGCACGCATAAAACATCAGAATACATCCAATGACAACAGAACCTAACGTTACATTAGAATCAAACTTCATCACGATGTAATTTGTTGCACGCATAAAACATCAGAATACATCCAATGACATCAGAACCTAACGTTACATCAGAATCAAACTTCATCACGATGTAATTTGTTGCACGCATAAAACATCAGAATACATCCAATGACATCAGAACCTAACGTTACATTAGAATCAAACTTCATCACGATGTAATTTGTTGCACGCATAAAACATCAGAATACATCCAATGACAACAGAACCTAACGTTACATTAGAATCAAACTTCATTACGATGTAATTTTTTGCACGCATAAAACATCAGAATACATCAAATGACAACAGAACCAAACGTTACATTAGAATCAAACTTCATCACGATGTAAATTGTTGCACGCATAAAACATTAGAATACATCATATGACACAACAATAAAAAGTGGCTTGCAGTGCAGTGATGCCTCCTATGCATAGTTTTGTGACATTATCAATTGCAAATAAAATTGAACTCTTTAGAAGAGTGGAAACGCTAATAAAAGTGCACTTAGACGTTGTATCGTCTTGACGCCTTCTGCGCACTTATTCTTCATTCACCAAGGAATAGGTATGTGCGATGAAGACACAACAACAATTTAACGTAAAACCGCACTTTTATTAGTGTTTCCGCATTCATAATCTCATAAATGTGCCCAATGCGCGATCCTCGACGCAATCATATAAAATAGCACATTGCGATTACAAGGTAGAGCTTACCACCATTAACTCTTGCACGACTGACATAGCCTCAAATCACTGAGCACGCTAACTTGAAAGTACCCATTAATGGTTGAAAAAGACCCATTTTGAAGAAAAGTGGCTTAACTCATTAAATGAGTAAATTTTTTACCCATTAATGAGTATCTGTTACCCATTAATGAGTATGTGTTAATCATTAATGGGTAACAGATACTCATTAATGGGTAAAATTGTTTAATCATTAATGAGTTAAGCCACTTTTCTTCAAAATGGGTCTTTTTTTACTCATTAATGAGTACTTTCAAGTTAGCGTGAAAGAAGTTTTGGCATGCCCTGTGGGCAATGTTTATTTGTATGTAAAACAATGCCCTGGTGACGTTACAGTGCAAGAGTTAATTAGTGTTTTAATTGATTATTATCGTTTCAATTGAAAACCGATTTTACTCTTGTTCTGTACGTTAAACATAACGTCGGCCATAGTGTGCTGTACACGCTAACTTGAAAGTACCCATTAATGGTTGAAAAAGACCCATTTTGAAGAAAAGTGGCTTAACTCATTAAATGAGTAAATTTTTTACCCATTAATGAGTATCTGTTACCCATTAATGAGTAATTGTTAATCATTAATGGGTAACAGATACTCATTAATGGGTAAAATTGTTTAATCATCAATGAGTTAAACCACTTTTCTTCAAAATGGGTCTTTTTTTACTCATTAATGAGTACTTTCAAGTTAGCGTGTATACCGCATCCGTGTACACGGTTAGAAAAAAGTCCCCAAAAGTAAGTTCTTTTCACTCATCTCGGCACTATAGTGCAGGAACCCAAAAATAGGTAAAGCGGGTCAAAGTAGTTTTCATTTACTTGTGTGCAATTCGTATGGAATTTTCCACTAGCTTTCAACGCAAAAGTAAGTTAGTTGTACCCAACAGTAGGTAAATATTATTATACTCAACGTTGGGTTCCCACACGTTACTACCCCTGTTGGGTGGTTTTGCTCCTCCGTTTTTGACAACATTAGAAGGAGAAAAGGAGACAAACTAGTCAAAAGTAGGTAAAAGTGAACTGGCCGTTGGGTACTTTTTTCTTACCGTGTACGAATACAGCACCCCACACGAATAATAGTACGTTCAGACTACAGAGTTATAACATGTTATAGCGCTATCTTGATGGTGGTTTCTGTGTTGCAATTATTTGACAACCGTTATAACATGTTATAACTCTCCAGTCTGTACAGCGTTTAAAGCCCTACAGTAAAAGTATGGACGACTGACACCACAAAACTGAAAGAGCTGTTCCAATCGAGCAAACCCTAATAAAAAATAACTATAAACGAACGATAACCCAAATCATTGAACTATTCCACAAATGGTTTGGATGATACCCAGAACACGTCGTTAAGCAAATTAACCATACAATTTTTATTAGGGAAGCGGTGCATTTTGACGGTTCGATTGGAACAACTTTTGACAGACGTCCATACTTTTACTGTAGGGCTTTACACACGAATTGCCGGCGACAAAGTGACGTCATTTGACATTGGGCGACTTAAAGACTGACGTTTTTAAATTGGTGTATTTTTTTTTTGTCGTGTGCTCAGCCATCTTGTCTGGTTTGTTTATAAACAAACTAGACAAGATGGCTGAGTGCACGGAGCGCACCGCAAATTCCTTCACCCGAGCCGCGAAGGAAATTAGCAACTTTAACAGTAAGTATTCAAATATTTGTTATATTTAGTGTTATTATTTGTAATTTAAAAAATTGATGCGTTGCATTAGTGATCTCATCCGGATTTCTCAAGCGGGTCAATTTTGATGTAATTATTTTCAAAAATTGATCCGGTTGAGATAAGCATCCTTGCTGATGCAACGCATCAACAAGGATGTTTAACTCATCCGGATTCCTCCAGCGGATCAATTTTGAAAAATAATTACAAATTCTAATAATTGGATCTGTTTCCAAAATTTTGATTATTTTGTAATTGTTTTTTTTTTTCAGCCGGCTGCTTCCAATAATTCCGGAGGTGTTCGGAAATTGAATAGAGGTAAGCTGAGGTAAGTATTGAACAGTTTGTTATTAAGTGTAATTTTTTTTTAATTGATCCGCTGGATGAATCTGACTGAGTTAAGCATCCTTATTGTAAGGATGTTTAACTCATCAGGATTCCTCCAGTGGATCAATTTTGAAAAATAATTACAAAATTCTAACAAACATCCAAAATTTTGATTAATTTGTATTTTTTTTTTCAGCCGGCTGCTTCCAATAATTCCGGATTAAGGGACGGGTACGGAAATTGAATAGAGGTAGGTGTTAAACAGTTTGTTATTAAGTGTAATTATTTTTAAAAATTGATCCGCTGGAGGAATCTGACTAAGTTAAGCATCCTTACTGATGCAACGCATCAATAAGGATGTTTAACTCATCCGGATTCCTCCAGCGGATCAATTTTGATGTCTTTTTTCCAAAAATTGATCCGCTGGAGGAATCCGACGGATTTCATTGACTGATGCAAAGCATCAACAAGGATGATTAACTCATCCGGATTCCTCCAACGGATCAATTTTGATGTTACTATTTTTCAAAATTGATCCGCTGGAGGAATCCGGCTGAGTTAAGCATCCTTGCTGATGCAACGCATCAACAAGGATGTTTAACTCATCCGGATTCCTCCAGCGGATCAATTTTGAAAAATAATTACAAATTCTAACAAACAGATCCAAAATTTTGATTATTTTGTAATTGTTTTTTTTTTTTTCAGCCGGCTGCTTCCAATAATTCCGGAGGTGTTCGGGAATAGAGGTAAGTATTGAACAATTTGTTATTAAGTGTAATTATTTTTTTTTTAAATTGATCCGCTGGAGGAATCTGGCTGAGTTAAGCATCCTTATTGTAAGGATGTTTAACTCATCAGGATTCCTCCAGCGGATCAATTTTGATGTATTTTTTTTTCCAAAAATTGATCCGCTGGAGGAATCCGGCGGATTTAATTGACTGATGCAAAGCATCAACAAGGATGATTAACTCATCCGGATTCCTCCAACGGATCAATTTTGATGTAACTATTTTCCAAAATTGATCCGCAGGAGGAATCCGGCTGAGTTAAGCATCCTTACTGATGCAACGCATTCCGATGCCGGATCCCGATGTTTATGTTTAAGTTAAAGTTTTATTATAGTTAAGTAAAATTTAAAGTTAAGTTAAATTAAGTATGTAACAACTAAATTTAAGTTAAAATTATGTTAAAATAAAAGTTATGTTGATGGTAAGATAAACTTATGTTAAAGTAAAAGTTAAAATTTAGTTAAAGTTACGTTAAAGGTAAGTTAGAGTTAAGTTAAGGTTATGTTTAAGTTAAGTTAAAGTTATGTTTAAGTTAAGATAAAGTTATGTGTAAGATAAAGTTAAGTTAAAGTTATGTTGAAGTTAAGTTAACGTTAAGTTAAAGTTAAGTAAAATTTAAGTTAATGTTAAGTTAACGGTAAGTTAAAATTATGTTAAGTAGAAGTTTATTCAAATTTAGGTATAAGTTATGTTAACGTTAAATTTAAATTAAATTTATGTTAAAGTTAAGTAAAAGTTATGATAATGTTAAGTTATCATTAATTTAAAATTAAAGTTGTGTTAAAGTTAAAGTTATGTTCAAGTTAAGTTAAAGTTAAGTTATGTTAACGTTATGTTAAAGTTATCTTAAAGATAAGTTAAATTTAATTTAAAGTTATGTTATGTTAAAGTTAATGTTAAGTTTAAGCTATGTGAATGCGAAGTTAAAATTAAGTTATGTTAAAATTAAGTTAGAGTTATGTTTATGCTTAAGTTAAGTTAAGCTTCAGTTAATGTTAGGTTAAAGTTATGTTAAATTTAAGTTAAAATTACGTTGAGGTTATGTTAAAGTTTAGTTAGAGCTAAAGTTAAGTTAAAGATATGTTAAGTATATGTTAGGTTAAAGTTAAGTTAAATTTATGTTAAATTTAAGTTAAAATTTCAAGTTAAGTAAAGATTAAGTTAAGGTTATGTTGCAGTTTAGTTAAAGTTAAGTTAAAGTTAGGTTAAAGTTATGTTAAATTTAAAGTTATGATAATGTTAAGTTATAATTAATTTAAAATTAAAGTAACGTTCAAGTTAAGTTAAAATTGAGTTAAAGTTGAGCACAATTTAAGTTCATGTTTAGTTCAATTATGTTAAGTTAAGGTTTATTCAAACTAGAGTATTCTAGTTCTAGAGGTTCAAGTAAAGTTTAGGTTAAGTTAAAGTTATTTTAAAGTTAAAGTTAAGTTTTAGTTATTTTAAATTTAAAGTTAAGTTCAAGTTATTTTATAGTAAAGTTAAGTTAAATTAATGTTAAAGATAAGTTAAAGTTATGTTAAAGTTGTGTCAAAGTTAAGTTAAAGTAATTTTAAAGTTAAAGTTATGTTAAAGCTTAGTTAATGTTATGTTAAACTTTATTTAAAGTTATCCCGCATAAACAATAACCATTAGAGGAGCCTAACCACCAATTCGGGATATCATCTCAACTTTATGTGGTATGGTCGTACCATCTATGAAATTGTTAGTGTATGGTACCCGTTTATTAGGGATGTTATAGGTAAGGTAAAGTTTAAAGGTTAAATTTATGTTATATTTGATTAAATTTAAGTTAAAGTTTTGCTAATATTATGTTAAAGTAAAGTTAAAGTTAAGTTTAAGTTATTGTTAAGTTAAAGTTATTTTAAAGTTAAAGTTAAGTTTAAGTTATTTTAAAGTTAATTTTTTGTTAAAGTTAACTTTAAGTTATTTTAAAGTTAAAGTTATGTTAAACTAAAGTTAAAGTTCTGTGATGGTAAGTTAAAGTTAAGTTGAAGTTAAATTAACGTTAAGTTAAAGTTACGTTAAAGTTAAGTTAACGTTATGTTATGTTATGTTAAGTATAAGTTAACTTAAAGTTAAGTTTAAGTTAAAGTTAAAGTTAAAATAATTTTGAAGTTAACGTAATGTTCAAGGTAAAGTTAGGTGAAAGCTAAGTTAAAATTAAGTTAAAGTTATGTCAAAATTAAATTAGAGTTATGTTTATGCTTAAGTTAAGTTAAAGTTCAGTTAATGTTAGGATAAAGATATGTTGAATTTAAGTTAAAATTACGTAAAGGTTATGTTAAAGTTTAATTAAAGTTAAGTTAGAGATATGTTAAGTTTATGTTAGGTTAAGTTCAAGTTATGTTAATGTTAAAGTTATTTTAAATTTAAGATTAAATTTAAAGTTAAGTTATAGTTCAGTTAATGTTAGGTTAAAGTTATGTTAAATTTAAGTCAAAATTAATTTAAGGTTTTGTTAAACTTTAGTTCAAGTTAAGTTAAAGTTATGTTAATGATAAGTTAAAGTTATTATAAAGTTTAAGTTAAGTTAAAGATCTGTTTAGTTCATGTTAGGTTATAGTTAAGTTCAAGTTATGTTAATGGTAAACTTATTTTAAATTTAAGATAAAATTTAAAGTTAATTAAAGTCAAGTTAATGTTAGGTTAAAGTTCTGTTAAATTTAAGTTAAAATTAATTTAAGGTTATGTTAAAGTTTAGTTCAAGTTAAGTTAAAGTTATGTTAAAGTTAAGTTAAAGTTATTATAAAGTTAAAGTCAAGTTAAAGATGTGTTAAGTTAATATTACATTAAAGTTAAATTAAAGTTATGTTAAATTTAAGTTAAAATTTAGTTAAGGTTGTGTTAAAGTTAACTTAAAATTTGGTTAAAGTTATGTTAAAGTTAAAAATAAGTTAAAGTTTGTTAAAGTTAAGTTAAAGTAAAGTTAAAATTACGTTAGAGTGAAGTTAAAATTAAAATGATTTTCAAATTAAAGTAATGTTCAAGGTTAAGCTATGCGAAAGCTAAGTTAAAATTAAGTTAAAGTTATGTCAAAATTATGTGAGAGTTATATTAATGCTAAAGTTAATTTAAAGTTAAGTTAATGTTAGGTTAAAGTTATGTTAAAGTTAAGTTAAAATTAAATTAATGTTATTTTAAAGTTAAGTAAAAAAAAGGTTAAGTTTAGTTAAAGAGAAGTTAAAGTTAAGTTAACGCTAAGTTAAAGTTAAGTTAAAGTTAATGCTAAGTTAAGTTAAGTTAACGTTAACGTTATCTTAAAGTTATGTTACAGATAAGTTAAAGTTATGTTATGTTATGCTCAAGTTAAGTTAAAGTTGAAGTAATGTTCAAGGTAAAGTTATGTGAAAGCTAAATTAAAATTAAGTTAAAGTTATGTTAAAATTAATTTAGAGTTATGTTAATGCTTAAGTTAAGTTAAAGTTCAGTTAATGTTAGATTAAAGTTATGTTAAATTTAAGTTAAAATTACGTTAAGGTTATGTTAAACTTTAGTTAAATTTATGTTAAAGCTAAAGTGAAGTTAAAGATATGGTAAGTTGATGTTAGGTTAAAGTTATGTTTAAATTTAAATTATAATAAATTTCAGTTAAAATTAAGTTAAGGTTATGTTAAAGTTTAGTTAAAGTTAAGTAAAAGTTATGTTAAATTTTCCTAAAAATCTGCAAATTACTTAGACGATCTTCGAACTTCCCTGAAGTTCTGTGTACTCCCAGAAGGTCTGTGAATTTCTCTGAAGATCTTCGAACTACCCTGAAGCATTAAAAATTTCTCTAATGGCGGTAAGCTCCAACTCGGATTAACTTTTAATACCGTCCCTGTTTGTATGATCTGAAAAATGTTTGCTCAGAGTTATGTTGATTAACTCTGATGTCGACATCAAACCAGCCGGACATTCTTGATCGAGATTTAATCCGAGGATAATACCGGTTGGAGCTTACCACCATAAAAGTCTACAAAACTTTCCTGAATTTCTGCAATTTTTTCTGAAGCAATAAAAATTTATCTGAAGACCTCCTTTAAGTTCTGCAAATTTCTCTGAGGATCAACAAACTTCCCTGAAATTCAGTATTTTTCCCTGACGTTCTGCCAATTTGCCTAAAGCTCTGTGAACTGCCCTGAAGTACTGAAAATAACTCTTAGATGTACGAGGATCTTTAAATTTATGTGATCTTCCCTGAAGTTCTGTGAGTTTATCTAAAGTTCTGCGAACTTCTCTGAAATTCTGTTCTATAAATTTCCCTTAGGAACTAAAAAATTATCTTTAAATTTACGAACATCACTGTAGTTCTGTTAATTTCTCTGAAGATCTTCAAACTTCCCTGAAGATCTTCAAACTTCCCTGAAGATCTGTGAACATCCATAAAGTAGTGATTATTTCTCGAAACGACGACAAACATTACTGTAGTGCTGTAAATTACTCAGAAGATCTACGAACTTCCCTGATTTTCTTTTGATTTCTCTAAAGATTTCAGTTTTTTTAAACTTTTCTGAAGTTTTTTTTTTTAATTTCCCTAAAGTTCTGCTAGTTTCTCTGAAGATCGGTGTAGTAAGATCTTCATAACAATTTCCGATTATTCTACGTCCTGAAGAAATTTTCAAACGACTTCAATTCGATTTTTTATCAGATGTTGGTCCTCTTCGAAAAATATCTCAAGATTTTAATTTCTAATCCTTATCAACCTGACCACTTCGAATATTTTCTAAATTACTTTATTTGAATTTCTGATCAGTTGTAGGTCTTCAAAACAATTCCTGCTTATTTTGATCTCTTGTAGTAATATCCGAAAAGTTTCAATTGATTTATTGATCAGTTGTAGGTTCTCAGAATAATACCTGATCAATTTAAACTATTCAAAGAATATCAAAAGGACATCGTTTGAATTTCTGTTCAGTTGTAGGTCTTCAGAATAATTATTAACTTAAATTAAATTAAATCTGGTATTTTTCTGATGTTTATAGAACTACCCTGAAGTTCTAGTAGTTCTTCTAACGAACCTTAAAATGTACATTTACCGCTATACCGCTATGCCGCTGTCCTGGTGTCATTGGGTTCGGCCCTTTACCTGGCTCGTAGACATTTCAAAGACAACAATGTCTGCATGATGTTTATACATCGGTTCAAACTATGCGTATTGATAAGTTTTCTGAAAAGATTTGGATCTAGGTGCATAGTTTGCTTTGATAGTCTTTCACAGTTTCTCTAGCATTCTCTAGTCTTAGCTCATCTAAATATTTACTGCAAAATCCCTGGATTAATCTTCAATTTGGCTTTGTTTTCTTGTTTATTTTCTATCGTTCTATGTTCTGCAACCGAGTGGCAACCACTTACGCCAGGGAGGCAATTGAACACCTAGACCTGGACTCATCAACTCAAGGGCCAGGATCCACGGCTGTGCTTCTTTTCGAAGGAAGGCATGACACCACCAAAGCAACCAAGGAAGTCATCAATCACCACCAACTGACGAGTTTCGTTTGTGGTTCGACACATGGACGGAGCATTTGTGTTTTGCTAAATTTTGCTAATTATTGGGGAATTTCCCTAAACTTTCACGCGGCCACCAGTTTTCACTCTTCCACAGGCCTTAAGGGTAACCCACATTAGATCTGCTTGCGTTGCGTTGTCGTAAATTTTATAGTTAGACAATATATTTAGCTGTCACTTTGCTGCATCGCGCCAGATCCGGATCTAATGTGGGTGGCCCTGTAGATTTGGAAACTTGATTATGTAAACACTAGGCATCTTTTTCTGGTAGTTCGTTCAAAAATGATACAACAATCGTCAAGCTCGCTGTAACGTCACCTAGTGCCTCGTCACCTACAAATTGGCGCCTAAGTCAGTGGTCTAATAACTCTTAGCGCGCTAATGGCATAGTTCCCCTGCCGCATAGAGAGTTGCCACAATGACATTAGGTTAGCTAAGGTCAGTTAACTGACTGGTGGGAAACGGGAGCTTACGCAATGACTATTCTGTATGCATTTAAGAGATAGTCTACCAGAATGGATGATTTTTTTTGTACAATTTTATGTTTTCTGATTGTGCAAAACATGAGAATTAACTTTTCCAATGCTTTCAATTGTACAAAGCATTAGTGCTAGAAACATGATCTTGTAAACACTACACACCTTAACTGTTAGTTTGATTAAAAAATGCTGCAACAATCGTCAAGCTCGCTGTAATGTCACCAAGTGCCTCGTCACCTACAAATTGGCGCCTATGTCAGTGGTCTAATAACTCTTAGCGCGCTAATGGCATAGTTCCCCTGCCGCATAGAGAGTTGCCGCAATGACATTAGGTTAGCTAAGGTCAGTTAACTGACTGGTGGGAAACGGGAGCTTCAGCATTGACAGTTATGTACGCATTTTTATGATGTTATCTAACAACAATGGTGTGTAGTGTTTACACGATTATGTTACTAATTCTAATGTGTTGTAAATATAATTGAAAGCATTTGAAAAGTAAGATTCTAGTGTTTGTACTTCTTAAAACATAGTAAACATCTACATTTTAAAACATTCAAACAACGTTTACTTTAAACGTTTTGTACATCTGAAAACATCAGAGAACAACAAACAGGAAGTACAATTGAAAACATCCGAACAACGTTTAGTTCTAACGTTGTGTACATCCGAAAACATCCAAAAAACGTTTGGTTCTAGCATCGGGAAACATCTACATAAGAAAACATTAGAATACATTTACATATAAAAACATCCGAACAACGTTTAGTTCTAACGTTTTTTACATCCGAAAACATCCAAAAACGTTTGGTTCTAACATCAGGAAACTTCTACATTAATGGTGGTAAGCTCCAACCGGTATTATCCTCGGATTAAATCCCGATCAAGAATGTCCGGCTGGTTTGATGTCGACATCAGAGTTAATCAACATAATTCTGAGCAAACATTTTTCAGATCATACAAACAGGGACGGTATTAAAAGTTAATCCGAGTTGGAGCTTACCGCCATAAGAAACATCAGAAAACATTTACATATAAAAACATTTAAACAACGTTTAGTTCTAATGTTTTTTACATCCGAGAACATCCGAAAACGTTTGGTTCTAACATCGGGAAACATCTACATTAGAAAACATCAGAAAACGTTTACATATAAAAACATCCGAACAACGTTTAGTTCTAACGTAATGTACATCAGAAAACATCCTTAAAACGTTTGGTTCTAATGTCAAGAGATTGAAATTTTTGACGTCAGACCGACATTAGAATGGCAAAATTTTGTTCCAAAATTTCTGATGTATACACCATGTTACGTTGCTTAAATACAACTAAATCATAATGTTTTCTAATGTTTGACATCAGGCATACATTTGATTTCGATGCTGATGTAGACATCAAAATCAAACGTTGGGCTAATGTAAATTTCTATTCGGGCATAGAGGTAACTCAAAGACTACACACAAACAACAAAAATTGTATCAATAAAAATAATGCATTTTCATATTGAAAGGTTGCCAAAATTCGTAGTATTAACCGAGGGGGGCGACACATCTAAATCTCAATTTTAGTTGCTCAAAAAATCTCACACTAGCGAATCAATCTTCGAAAAATCTTCTTGCATTTCTCGCATCTCCTTGCATCACGCATAATCTTTTTGCAGGAAATCTTCAGAATCGTCATCAATCTTCTTTCTATCTACTCAGCGTGCGAGCAGCTAGCCACAGCACAACACAATCTTTCCTGCAGCGTAGATAGAGTCGCCCCCCTCGGTATTAACTGCGAAAATATTCAAAATGAAAATTAAATTTTTTGTTTGTATGTGTTTTTTTCACTTTTGACTTGTAATTTTAAAAGTGCATTTTTTAAAAGGAAAGTTGTCCAACTGTCAATATACCTTTTCACATCGATTTGTTTACTAGCAGCAGCCGTTTACTTCGCGCCAAAATGTATTGCATTCATTTTTGCAGCAGCAGAACCGTCTCGGATATTGAGTGAGTAATTAATTTTAGAAATGTCGAAAAACGCTTCTTCAACAGATTCACATTTATTAAAAAATTACTTTTTTCACAGCCCCATTGATTCGTCTATGCTCCAGTCAATTTTTGAAACAGCCAGCACCGACATTGACATCGAGAACCTCATGTTTTGCTTCCGCCTACAGACATTTTATTTTATTCATCATCCTGCCTGGCCTCAAGAACGGATGGAGATCAGCCGGGAGTAGTGTGGATACTTTAATATTGTATTCAACAAGCGATCGCGTTAGGTATTCTGTTGGGAAGTTTCAGAACATTAGCGCTTTTCCTGAACTCGTGCAAGAGTGAGTGAGGTTTTTTGTCTTGATTTGAGATGCTGAAAATTGATCTTGGTGTTTTTCGTTTTAGGCATGTCTTCATATATAGGTTTGTTCGCGTGTGGTCACTTTCTGCGCTAGTAACGTCACTGATGGATAACGGAAGTAGAACCACAAACGAAGTGACAGACGGAGCGGCTCGAAAACTTTGGTGACTAACCTGCTATTGCAATTTTTAAGTGTACCACATGGCAACACCACTACTACTGGATTGTACCACATGGCAACACTACTACCACAAACGAAGTGACAGACGACTAACTGGCGAAGAAATCCATTAAAATAATGTGGTTCACTGTAATAGAATTTTCTTGGAAGCTTGTGCCATCATCCACCAGATGGGTTAGTTTTTTTGTTTTGATTTGAACAAAGTTGATTTTGTGTACAATGATTCTTTGACAGTGTGCAAAGAGTGCGTATCATTTTGTCATTTTTTTTATGCATTTCAGTTTTGTGTAGAGTGAAAGAGATAGAATCAAAACATTCTGATACATTTGGTGAAAATGCTAGTACAATCCAGTAGTAGTGTTGCCACGTGGTACAATCCAGTAGTAGTGGTGTTGCCATGTGGTACACTGAAAAATTGAAATAGCAGGTTAGTCACCAAAGTTTTCGAGCCGCTCCGTCTGTCACTTCGTTTGTGCTACTACTAGATTGAACTAGCATTTTCACCAAATGTACTAGAATGTTTTGGTTCTATTTCTTTCACTCTACTCAAAACTGAAATGCATAAAAAAATGACAAAATGATACGCACTCTTTGCACAGTGTCAAAGAATCATTGTACACAAAATCAACTTTGTTCAAATCAAAACAAAAAAAATAACCCATCTGGTGGATGATGGCACAAGCTTCCATGAAAATTCTATTACAGTGAACCACATTATTTAAATGGATTTCTTCGCCAGTTAGTCGTCTGTCACTTCGTTTGTGGTAGAACCCAACGTAGGAGACTCTTATCAACCTATAGTTATGCCAACAATCAATACGAAACTAACGATTTTAAATTGGCTCACCAGTTTAGTAGCCTATTGGTCCCAAGCAAACGATTAACGTACCCTATTCTTGTCGAAATTCTAGTACTACGCAATGTTTGTTTTGATTCGCTATGAAAGTTTGACAGATAAAATGAGGGGTTATTGGTTTTTCCTCTGTTTCGAGGGGTGAATCGATTAGCTTGGGACCGAAGAGAGTACCAGAGCTGAGCCAAAAAGTTGAGCTCGTTTCTTCGGGACCTTCTAGTCTTAGAGTTACCTCTATGGTTATGCCGTGCTGGACATCGATGGAATCAAACTTCAACTGAAGAATCCCTGATCTCATCTTGGCTGGCGGGGCAGCTGTTCTGAGCTGAATGTGGTAACTATTTCCTGGAATCCGAACCTATTCGACTACACATACATCATTCATCAGCTGTGGCGTGGAGCCTACGTAAGACGCATATACGCGTGCCGGCACCGAACTGACATAATAAATATATTTTTGTATTTGTAGATTTTTATTTATCAAATAAAGAAAATATTTGGATTTATTAGAATTGAATACTAAAAATGATTTTATAATCTTCAAAATACTTATATTTAAATTGAAAATGCTTTTAGTGTAAATCAAAACAGTACATATTATTTCAAATTTACCACATTTTCATGGCAAAAATTAGTTTTGAATTGAAAAGAACTCACTTTTAATTTCAATACGCTGTGCTTTTCATTTGACAGTAGTACAATTTATCTTAAAAGTTTTAGCTTTTAAAAGTAATGAACGGAAAACTTTTAATTAGACAATTGGTTGACTTTAGTTTTGAAAGCTAACCGCTTTCTACCAAAAAGAACAAACGCAAACTTTTAATTTTACTAATGGTTTTTTTTTTAATTTTATCAACGATTATTTTTTGTGTGTAGTACACTCAAAAATATTACAAAACGAATATAGATTAAATTTTATGCATTTGATGGTTTTTCAAAATTTATACATTGGTTCGATTAAAATTTTCGTCAAAATTATACTAAGTCCGAATAACGGAGTGGAATTCGATCAGTGTTTAGTAAAATGACAGGAAAAATTACATTTGGATTCTCTTCGCAGCTTCGCGCTTGTGAAGAGCTTTGTTCCGGCGGATTTCAACTGCGCCTGTGATCTGCTGGGCAGCTAGACTGCGTGAGCTCGTGAGCACGAGTTCATCGAAATGGTAAGTATTTTTTAAATAATATTCATAAAAAATAAAATAATTTAAAAACCTTCCTGAGAAAATTTTTATTTCTATTTGAAAACAATAATATTTACCATAAATAAAATAAAGAAGCGAAAAGACATTATCTCGATTAAACCGTATCTATACATTGTAAGTATATTTCGATTTTATACTATGGCACGCATAAACCATTTTTATACTAAGTTTGCATTCTCTCCATTTATACCGACCTTTGCGTCGGTATACGGAGAGTTGCGATTTAGCGTAACTTTTATACTATTTAGATTTCAATATTTTTTGAGTGTAGGTCCCGCAGAAACGTGCTCAACTTTTTGGCTCAGCTCTGGTACTATCTTCGGTCCCAAGCTAATCGATTCACCCCTCGAAACATAGGAAAATCCAATAACCCCACATTTTATCTGTCAAACTTTCATAGCGAATCAAAACAAACATTGTGTAGTACTAGAATTTTGACTAGAATGGGGTACGTTAATCGATTTGCTTGGGACAAATAGGCTAGTCAAGTAGTGAGCCAAGTTAAAATCATTAGTTTCGTATTGATTGTTGGTAAAACCGAGTTTACTCATTAATGAGTATTCGACTAGTACTTCATAAAATGGTTATCTTTTATCCTTCGTGTTTTTTGGCAATGAATAAAAAGTACCCATGATTTTAATTACTTCATAGGGCTCATAACTAACAATAATAAATACGTCAGAGGTCATCTTAAGATTAAGATCAACAAAACACTTTATTTATTTGAATGATGAAACAATGGCACATTCGAGGGCACATTCAACACTCCAAAGCATTAAAAAAAGTCTACCGCTTGTGCTGAGCTGGAAATTATTAAGGGATTTTTGTATCGGTAACCTTTGCGTCCTATTCTCCTCCTGTTACTTTGTCTTACTGAGCCACATATGTGCGGTTAAGAAATAGGATAGCCTGTAACGAACAAAGAGCATCATATGAATTGCAGAAAAATAAAAATAAACGAAAAATATTCTTACCTTCCAGTTTTTCGGATTGAAACTTTCACTTCCGCACTGAGCTTGCTTCTAGCTCCTGCTCTTTGGAAATGTTACCCATTTTAACTGCAAGAAGCCAATATCAAAAATGAATCAAAATTACACGCTTTCAATTTTATGAAAATACCCCTTTTTTGACAGCTCGGAATGAATACAAAAAATGAGTACAAGATACTCATTAAATGGGTACTTTGAAGTTAGCGTGTATCAACATAAAATGATATTCTGAAAGACTAAATAAATACGAAACTGCGAGTAGCATTTATTCAGTTCCGCTTATTTTCCAAAAACCAGAACTGAGTAAATGCTACTCAGATTTTGACAGATTCATTCATTACTCAAAACTGAGTAAACATGAGATTACTCACATTTAGGGTAGATCCACTTTTAACGAAAATGAGTAGAATGCTACTCACTTCTGAGTCATTGAACGAGCGCGCATCCAATACACATAACCCAAATTTGGGCTTATTGATCTTAGCGTGTTCATGTGTCATGACGCAGCCATCGCCGATGGCCATGATTTTTCCGATTTTTCGACCAACAATTGAAAAGGCTTTTGTAGACAAAACTTTGAAAGCCCTTTCCATGGAGGCCGCCCACGCAAAACAATAGCATCATCTGGTAGGGAAAACTTTCCCCTACACGAAAATGCCATTTATTTGCATGGGCGGCCTTCGGTTTGCAAGGAAAGGACCTACACAGTTTTGTCTACAAAAGCTGATAGGCTCTTATCAATTGTTGGTCGTGATCTTCATCTTCGATTGGCGGGAGCGGGAAACTTCATTCTGACGCATAAATTCAAAAGGCCTGATGCACGGCATTATTGATTGTGCGGAAAACTTTAATTTTAAAGTCTTCTTGCAAGTCATTATCAGTAGCAACAATATTTTGTACAGAGTAAGAAAATAATATATAATATATATAATAATATATAATATATATAATATATAATAGAAAATATATTATACGACGAATAACTAAACGTTTGTATATAATATAGTTCTGTTCACAATCGATGGTTAAAACGTAGTGAGGACCTTTTGAAATAATTGTCGAGAAATGCTAAGAAATTTGCCAAAATTCATTCGTGTTTTTTCCTTTGTCCTTTGCGGTTCGTTTAGCTTCTTTGGTGCTTCTGCATATAACGTTCTTAGTGGACATTAAATACTCGTGGTAAGTTAATAAGTAAGATAAATAATAGCATAATATTCAATATTTATTCTTAAGATTCATAGCTAAATTACAGTGATTTTTAAATTCAACTATGCCGTCGACTCTGGAATTCTGTGAAAAGTTCTACGGAACACGAGATGTGTACACAATCTTTGCAGTGGCCAAAGACGCTCAGGAAAGCGAAAGTAAGATAATCTTATTAGGACATGTCTAGATGCAGTAGGAATTAGGTCGTAACAGCTTTTGTAAACAATGACTTCTATCGATGATTTCTAGGAATTCAAGGCACGTCCACGCAGACCAACCTAACCATCGGATAGGGGAAGTCTTTCCCTACCAGATGAGGGTGTTGGTTTGCGTGGGTAAGCCTTAAATTTCTAGAAATCATCAAGAGAAGTCATTGTTTACAAAAGCTGTTAGGCCCTAATTCCAGCTCTATCTAGATGTATATATTCTCTTAATTTGACTTGGAATAACTTTGATTTCAGTTAAGAAGGCCTATTATAAACTTTCACTGAAAGTTCACCCGGATCGAGTAAAGGAATCTGAAAAGGAGAACGCTACGGAAAAGTTCAAGGTTTTGAGCAAAATCTATGCGATTCTTTCCGACAAAGCGAAACGAGCATTGTACGATGAACATGGTATCATCGACGATGACGATGATTGCTCCGGTTCCCAATGGCTCAGCATGTGGCAGCAGTTCTTCAAGCCCATTTCCGTCGAGGACATCAACAACTTTGAGAAAACGTACATCGGATCAGAGATGGAGCGCAATGACATCAAGAAGTCTTACTTGAATGGTAAGGGCTGCATCAACTACATGATGGATCATGTTCAATTTATGCAATGTGCAGACGAGCCTCGGATCATTGGGATTGTTAAAGAATTGATTGCAGCTGGTGAAGTTCCGGAGTTCAAGATCTGCACAGAAGAGCCAAAGGTGAAGCGTGATCGTCGTCATAAAAGGTATGCAAGGGAAGCCAAAGAAGTAGCTGCGATGCAAAAGGTCGAGAAAGAGAAAAAAGATCCAAAGGAATCTCTGGAGCAGCAAATAGCGCTCCATCAGAAAGAACGTGAGCGCAGATTTACATCGATGCTGGAGAAATACAGCCAAGTTGAAGATGATGAAGCTTACAGCATTGACGACTACACGGCCAATAAAACGCCTAAAGGAAAATCGGAACCGAAAAAAACTCCACAGAAACAGGAAATTAAAAGTAAAAATCGCAAAATACTGGCTGGCCGTGTATCCAAGAAGACTATCTAAATTTAAATGATCATTGCACACACACTTCGATTTTTTTTGCCGAGATTGGATTATTTTGCTGGATCTCAGTAAAAAAAACACCGAGATTCAACTAACAAACGGGAGTTTTACCGAGATCTCAGCCAATTTGTTATATTTTGCTGAATCTTGGCAAGTTTTTCACTGAGATCCAGCAAAATAAAATGCCGAGTTGCTCGCTGGTACCCATCTCGGCAAAACAAATCTAAGGCCGCGGCCAGGGTAGACGCGATTCGCGACGCGACCAATTCAAAAGAATCTTATTATTTATTATTATTTCTTGCGTGAGTCGCGTCTACCCTGGCTGCCACCTTAGTGTGCAGGTAAGCGATAAACCATCGTCTTTTTATTCATGTTATTTAGACCACAGGGCTCCCAAAGAATCGGCCCCTCAATGAATCTGTTTAAACCAATTTTGGGAAGAATCGATTGCATCAATCGTAACTTTGAAAAATGAGTTAAATTAAAAATATCCTGTCGTTAAATTACAAACATACATTTGAAGCAAAGAGAAATAAATTGAACTAAACTATGTATTTAATAACTTTTTCAACCATAAAAAAAATTGTCCAAAACATTACGAACAATTTAACGAGCTATTATAGTCAAACTACGAAATATTGTCGATACAGCCCGCTCTGTAAAGATAACTGGAACCTCTTTTCCGAGGCTTTTTCTTCACTTATTCTCCGTCGATTTCTGTTCCGCCACGTAAGTACCAATAACCGACACCAGATGATGATGATGGTCCCAGTGCTTACCTCTACAAAGGTTTGAGCTGGATGGGTTATCTTTAAGATAATTAAATATGACATTTTAACCAGGTTTGCAAACGAAATCGAACTGGTTACAGATATAAATTCCCTCTTGAGAAATAAAGAAGGGAATATTCCCTTCTTTGAATATATAAAAGAAAACATCATTAATTCGCTAAATATATGATAAAGGAGGGAATACTCTCTTCTTTTAATATATAATCAATAACTTTTCGCAAGGGATTCGGGGTAATGACCATTTGGGATAATAACGAGTGGAATAAATGTTATAAATTTGTAATCGGTACTTCAACGTTCCATGCACCGATTTTTTAATCCATCACGAGAAATTCTTCAACTCAGGTCGAACAATTCTTCGATAATTGTAGAGATGAACTAGCCTAAGGCTAAAAATCTCTTTAGGGCCTGTTCATAAACTACGTAGAAAGTTTTTTTTTGGGATTCTTGACCCCCCCCCCTCCCCCTGCGTAGACAATTGTCCATACAAACAATTTAAAATTTGTATGGGCCGTGGATAATTGTCAACCCCCCTCCCCCTAAACTGTCTACGTAGTTTATGGACAGCCCCTTAATAAAGAAGTAAAAAAAAATCTTCGATAAAGTTTAACAGTTTCCGACTGGATGAATTGGATTGCATAATAGACCCTTTGACTTATTAAATGATAAACGAAGTGCTCGAAAGCTTGAAGGTTGTCATTTTAGAAAGAGCTAAAAAATGGGTTGAAATTTAAAAATACATAGTTCCATTAAAGTAAACATAGTGTATTATCAATAGTAAAAAAAAAAGAAAAGTAAAAATTACTAATTTCATCATCTTTTCTGGGGAATGTTATAGAACCGTTTTTACATTGTTCCTGCCTTGGCAATTCAGTATTTTAAACAGGTTTTTTAAACCTGCATGTCAGAATAACAATTGAAATCTTAAAACTAAAACTAAATCTTATCTAAGTATAAAGGGAATTAATCGTTGCAATTGAGGATTGCAACGATTTTTGTCTGAAATTATTAATTATTTTGTTGGACATTTGTTCTAAAGTCTCAACATTCGAAATTCTATGTACTTCGGTAGTACTGTACCAGGGCGGCAACTTCAAAATCATCTTCAAAAATTTGTTCTGGGTTCCCACACTTTACTACCCCTGTTGGGTGGTTTTGCTCCTCCGTTTTTGACAACATTAGAAGGAGAAAAGGAGACAAACTAGTCAAAAGTAGGTAAAAGTGAACTGGCCGTTGGGTACTTTGTAAACAAACTCGGTCGCTGTCCCATACAAAAATCCAACATGGCTGAATCATGAATTTGACACACTAGAACACCTATATGTAGTCGCCTTGGATGTAATACCAGGATGCTGCACGCTGACGTCACGAATGAAAGCGATGAACCCGCATTCATCAGTGGATTAGAGGTTTTAAATTAGGTTCTGCAGCGTGACGTCACAAATGAACTCAGTGTTAATCGGCTGAACCTTTTTGACAGTTCAGTGGTACTGTTTACAAGCACTTAGTCGTTTTTTCGAAAAAACAAATTCTAAAATTTCCGAATTTTAACTTGAAAATTGTCGAGGAACAGCGTGGTGAAAGGATGTTGATCGTGGACAATGCAGAAGTGTGGTTTACATCTCACTGCAGTCTGAAAAATTATCGAGAAAATCTACCCAAGAAAAAAACGACTAAGTCCACGTAAACAGTACCACTGAACTGTCATCAGATTGAGGTTAACCCCGACGGTGCAAAACCTAATAAAAGAATTCAAAGATATGATATCCGTTTTGGTTTTTCACCGTCGGGGTTAACCTCAATCTGATGACAGTTCAGTGGTACTGTTTACGTGGACTTAGTTGATTTTTTCATGGGTAGATTTTCTCGATAATTTTTTAGACTGCAGTGAGATGTAAACCACATGTCCAGAACAACATGTGAAAAGGGCATACAAGCTTTTTGTAAACAAACATTTGTAGGCCCTTTTCTCACCAACCGAGGGTCGCCCACGCAAACCAGCAATATCATCGGGAAGGGGAAAGTGTCCCCTACCCGGTGATGATAAAGGTTTGCGTTGGTGTCATATGGGTGGCGAGAAAAGGGCATAAGAAGGTTTGTTTACAAAAAGCTTGTATGCCCTTTTCACATGTTGTTCTGGATGTCTGCAATGTCCACGAGCAACATCCTTTCACCGCGCTTTTCCTCGACAATTTTCAAGTTAAAATTCGGAAATTTTAGAATTTTTTTTAGAAAAAACGACTAAGTGCTTGTAAACAGTACCACTGAACTGTCAAAAAGGTTCAGCCGATTAACACTGAGTTCATTTGTGACGTCACGCTGCAGTACCTAATTCAAAACAACTTTTTTTTGCTGTGTACACTGAAAGGTTGTTGTGTCGGTAGTTTGCATTTCGTCTTCAAGTGGAATACCATGCTGTCATCTCTAGCACTCGGCGTCGGCATTCTAGTTTTCACTGAAGTTGAAAGCTGCGTTTGGTAATTTTGGCGAGAAAATTATACACATTTTTCGTTCCATTTGGAGAAGCATCTGTACAACATCTGACAAAAATGTCCAAGGCACATCCTCCAGAGTTGAAGAAGTAAGTACTGTACAACTGTTGTTCATTTGTTATGTAGCATTGCGGGCGGAAATGTTCAGTGCATTGCGAATCGTTCTGTGGCAAGGTTATGTTACACCAAATATTGGCGTCTAAAGCAAATCCGGCGAATGCTTCATGTTTTCAGATACATGGACAAACGTTTGTCCCTCAAATTGAACGGTGGTCGGGTGGTTTCGGGTATACTACGCGGATTCGACCCCTTCATGAACGTCGTGCTTGATGAATCCATCGAGGAATGCAAGGACAGCACTCGGAACAACATTGGAATGGTGGTGAGTGGATTTCGTGAATATTGTTCAACTTCTATGCCCTGTACAAGGATTGTGCTGCCGCTCACCGCAAGTCGGTTCCGTTTGCGACAAAGGGCCTTATTAAGGATGTCACTTGTCATCACGGTGAAGTGATTCCCATTTGATTTGTACGGCTCTTATAGTGACACCCGTAATAAGGCCCAAAAAGTCAACATATGTTTTCAATGGAGATGGTCGCTAATCACCCATATTTTCATAATATTAGATAAGCTCAATAATTTTGTTCTGGAAATGGTATATCAGGAGCAAACTTTAAATGCATTTTTTCGGCTTGCTGATATGTGCTGAGACGGACTTGTCATGAGCAGCAGTGTGGGTTATGGGAGTTTAAATGAGCCCTATCTAATCAGAATTTACTATTGTAGGTTATTCGTGGAAACAGTATCATCATGGTGGAAGCATTGGATCGGATATAAACATTCGTAGGCTCTTTTTGGAAGCCTACGTAAACTTCTTTGTAGCATAAGGACATGGGTGAACAATAAAACTAAAAACTAATATTACATCAATGTTGAATAATTTATTCTACTGCTAAAGAAAGTTCGCATCACTGGGTAAAATTTTCATCTTTCACCGATTCTGTATTTTGCAGCGCATTTGTGGTGTCATTCAGAAAATCTTGCCCGTAGGAGGAGTTAGTCGACCTGTTATGTTCGGAGAAATCTTCCTCCAGATGGCTGTCTCCTGTTTGCTGTTGTTTTAGTTTGTAGCTCTGTTGTTCCAGCTCTTCGTGAAGACGGTTATTAATTTCTTCCAGCTAGTAATGATTATATAGAGAAAGAGAAACAATTATAACAATTCAGACTCAATCAAAAGGTCCTTTTACCTCACGTTCCACCAAATGGATTCGCTCTTTGGTTTCTGAAATTTTCTTTTCCAAATCGGGATCGTGTTCCACTCGTTCAACGTCCCAGCCAGTCTGTTGCTGCTGCTGTTCTAATGCCTTTTGCTGTTCCAACAATCGTTCTAGCTGCTGATGTTGTTCCTGTAGAAGCATTTGCTGTTCCTGGGCCGATGGAGTGAGAAACTTCGTTACCCGCCGAGTGCTGGTCGCCGTGTCGATGTTATGAACCGTACGCTTGTGATTGGTCAACTGGTAGCCTTGGATGAATCCTTCATTGCACAGATCGCATCTGTAACGTTCTCCGGTGTGACGTCGAACATGCGCCTTCAGATCGTTGCCTTGAGCGAAACTCTTCGGACAGTGCGGGCATTGGTACGGCTTCAATCCATTGTGGGTCCGGCTGTGTACCACAAGATTGTACGCCCGGTGGAAGCTCTTTCCACAAATGGTGCAGAGATGCGGTTTCTCATTTGTATGATACTTTTCGTGGACCTATCAAGATAGTAATGCATGAAATTCCTGAAATTGTACCTGGCTCGTTATACGTACCCTCAAATCCGTAGCTCGTGGAAATGCCTTCGGACAGAATTTACACTTGTATGGCTTAATTCCTTTATGGCGTCTCATGTGAACCATCAGGTAATCATTTCTGAGAAAACTCTGTCCACATTCGGAGCACAAGAACGATTTCCCTTCCAGATGCAATTGTCGAACATGCAGCCGGTGATCGTTCTTGTCGGCAAACTGTTCTGCACAGTAGGTGCATTTGTAAACTTTCGGTTGCAAGTGAGTCTTTTTGTGCAGTTCAAGATTCTTCGCCGAGGTGAAACCTTTTTTGCAGACTTCACAGAAATCTTGCTTTTTAGAGGATACTGTTTCACTGTGTTTCGATTCAATGTGATTCCGGAGGTGTTCGGCACGTTTGAAAGACTGAAATTAAACAAAAACAAATCAAATTTCTTCATTTAACATTATTTGCAGCTACCGATCGAAAGCCAACGTACCTTCTCACAAAGTTTACACGAAAAAGGTCGTTCCTTCGAGTGGAACGTGGACTCATGAATCGTCAGGTGATCACTTCGTGCAAATGCTTTGGCACAACTTTTGCATTTGAAGGGTTTTTCCTGCGTGTGGATTAGAATATGACGTCTTAGGTGCGTGCCTCTGCGAAATACTTTACTGCAATATTCACACTTGTGGCTTCCGAGTGAAACTTTGGCTGACTTTTTCGACGATTCTTCCTTGATCGGATTGGGACTATCTTCTGCTTCTTCGTCATATTCAAGCTCTACGAAATCGACCTGCTCGCAATCGAAGTCTACATCCGAGTTTGAATTCTTGTCCTCAGTGATCGGTTCACTTTTTATATTCTTTATATCTTCATCGAAAGTTTCCACCAAGTATTCCACATTTTCAAATGCCTCTACTTTACAAGCCGAATTTTCCATTGTCGAATTAAGTTTGCTGAAAATGCACGTCAATAAGACACTTTCTATTTCCGAAGGTCAACCTACCTTTTATCAGGACCTGTATCTGTTGCATCATGCAAGTATTCCACTTCAACGAGGATTTCCGGGTCCTTATGCTTTAATTCTGTACCTTTTGCTATAGCTATTGGATCACATGAATTCGGAGTACATTGCTTATAATGGTCTACCTTGTTCGTCTGTGTTCCTTTGGTGTTCTCCGACGCTGCAACGGCTAGATTGTATTGCTCCGCCAGCGAACGAAGGGTACGGTATGCAATGTCGCACTGTTGTTTGAATGCGAACGCGTTCCGTGCCAGCTCCAGGCACTTTTGGCAAATTTTGTCCGGCAGTCCATCATTTCTGCTTATCTGTATAAACTTAGTTAGTAGCTAAATGTCCGTATGATAGGGCTACATTTATCTACCTTCATATTGCTACAGGCCGATATCATCGACGGTATACTACCACTTTCCTGGGCGTCATCGTCGAACATACAAATAAGCCTATCTGTTTCGCTTAAGCATGTTCGGCAGATACAATCCACATTCAAAGGTATTTCCATCGCTTTGTTTATTATTCAACGAAAATACTATTTCATTTAACAATATTTAAAAGAACAATGTCTTTATTAGTTTTATTATTTTTTGGAGAGGAGATATTTTAGTCGTCAAATAAATAAATTGCAAAACAATAACATTTTCTTATGAACGTCAAAATGGGTACATCCAAAAAGCACGAATTGGCTTGTACCGAACACACGGAGAGAAACAATTCGGCACACGGTGTAAGCATTTCGGTCATTATAATTTAATAAGTATTTTGAATTTTGTCGTATTTGTGTATTTTTAAGTTTTATGTATTTTTGTATTAAAGTGTATTCAATTAATTATGAAATGTATTTTTCGTGTAAAAAGTATTTTTTAGTATTTTTTATGGTATTCTAGTTTTAACGTGTACACATTTACGTATTTTTTTTGTGTATTTTCCGAAGCGCGTATTTACGTATTTATGAAGTTGATCGCCCCTCGGTTATATTATTTAATAAGTCTGGCTGGCTGTTTAGGCTGTTTCGTTGCACCACCAATGTAGAGTGCGCTAGGCGATAATGAGAGCAAACGTCAACCAAACCGTTTGCTTACATCAAAATTACAATTTTACATCGCAAATTAGCGCATATTTTTATGCATATCTTACAAATTTCCATCGGGAGTAGTCTTATTTTACTATTTTCCACAGATCAAAACTTATTTATGCTATGTTCATAACAGAGTTATAACAACCAATGAACGATTTTAAATTGGCTCACTATTTGACTAGCCTATTGGTAAATCTATAAGCGTACCCCATCTAGTCGGAATTCTAGTACTACACTATGGTTTGATGCGCTATGAAAGTTTGATAGATAGAATGACGGGTTCGTGGATTTTTCTTTGTTTCGATTGTTTTCAATTAGCTTTGTTTCGATTGTTTTCAATTAGCTTTGGACCGAAGATAGTACCAGAGCTGAGCCAAAAAATTGAGCACATTTCTTCGGGACCTTCTGGTCTAGAGTTAAGGCCCAAGCGCAATTACGGCGGAAGCGGAACAGCAGCGGCAGCGGAAAATCCCGATCTGAGTAAGCCTACTTGTCGGATTGAAAACTAGTTAGATCCAAATCGACTTCGGTTAGGCATCTTCATTAGTGACAACTGTCAAACTTTCCGTTTCCGTTCCGCTTCCGGCCACATTGAGTTTGGGCCTTTACCTCTCTGGTTATAACATGTGATAGCGCTATCTTGATGGTGGTTTCTGTGGGATTCATCGGTGGACACCCAACAGGTAGTGAAGTGGACAGGCCAAAACCGATAACGGACGGAATTAAACCCAGGGAACCAGCGATAACGACGAAATAAAAGAACACTCGTACCGACTACTAGAAACGTGTAATTATCGGACTGTTTACATAGAATGAAAAGAAATTCACTTTCACTTTGTTATTGCAGTCTTCTCTCCTATGGTGCATGAAACTGATTGCAGCGTAGTGACGCCGGGTAAAAATGTTGCTCCTACTTATACACGCTCAACAAAAACATGTTATAACTGCTCAGTCTGGACAGCGCTTTATCGACATGAAAAATGTCATTCAAAAATGTTTCTTGAGAACCATAGTGCTTTTAGTTGTTTCTGAATAAAAAAATTTTATTCGGTTTTTAGTACACTTCAAATTTGATGAGTACATTTTGCAGCTCATTACAACATCCTTTTACTTTGTTTTTTTTTAAGGATTAATTTAACTGTAAAGGGCTGTCCACAGACAGCTTTTGATAGGTTTTGGACCAAACCATCCCCTCCCGCCCCTTGCGTGGACAATCGAGGGGTGATCAACTTCATAAATCAGCTGAATGTAAATACACACTTCGAAAAATACAAAAAAAAAACATAAAATTGCGTTAATGTGTACACCAAATGAAATACACCAAAATACTTCGAAAATACTTTGTACACGACAAGCAGGTTTGGACAGACATTAATCTGGGTGATCGCACACTATTTCTATGCGCTTTGTACATTCCACCTGATCGAGTCCGTGACAATGAACTCATAGATACTCACTGTCGGTCAGTTTTCACAGTTATCGAAAGTGCCACTCCAGTTGATGAGATATCAATCTGCCAGGCGTTTCGTGGAGTCCATCTCATAGCGACGCTTTCTCAAATTAACCATGTAGTTAACGAAAATGATCGTAGTTTGGACCTCTGCTTCGTGAGCACACAGGACATGGCTTCATCAATTTCCTCGGCTCCTTGTGCACTAACTAAGCTAGTTCCACATCACCCTCCTCTAATTGTCACTGTTGAGGACAAACTCGTGCGTGATTTCGACGACTATCCTGCTACGGTTTCTTATGACTTCCGTAAAGCTGACCACCGTAGCATCATAGATGTATTGTCTAGCATGGTATGGGAGAACATCCTTGATCCAGATGACGTTGAGGCTGCAGCGCAAACCTTTTCACATGTCTTGGCATATGTCATTGACAGACACGTCCCGAAAAGAACTCACCACAAAGTGTCTCATCCTCCCTGGCAGACGAGAGAGCTACGTAGGTTGAAGTCAATCAAAAGAGCAGAATTGAGAAGATTTACGAAGTATCGCACGCTTCCTCTGAAACTACATTATCTGAGGCTGAATCACATGTACCAGTGAGTCAGTCGTGAATGCTTTTCAAGTTTCCAACAAGGCATCCAGCGCAAACTTAGCTACACCCGAAATCCTTTTGGAACTACGTGAACGAGAAACGCAGGGAATCCGGCCTCCCATCGTCTATGGAATTCAACGGAGAAGTAGCTGCCACCGTTCATGATATATACCACCTTTTTTCCGAAAAGTTTGCCAGTGTATTCACTGATGAGATACTAACTGACGACTATATTAACCTGGCTGCCAGGAACCAAGCCAGGAACGTTCCAGTAAATGATCAAACGCTGGGTGCAATTGATGTAAATGCAGAGATGATTTCTAAGGCCGCGACTCTGCTCAAGTCATCCTTCAATGCTGGACCTGATGGAGTTCCATCTGTATTTTTGAAGAGACATATTGCTAGCTTGTTAATTCCGCTTCTTCGCCTGTTCCGAATGTCTCTCTCCAGTGGCATATTTCCATCTTGCTGGAAATTTGCACACATGTTTCCCGTCCACAAAAAAGGAAGGAAACGAGCTGTGGATAACTATCGAGGAATTACATCGTTAAGTGCCGTTTCGAAGCTATTCGAGCTAGTGATTATGGAACCGTTGCTGTCCCATTGCAAGCAGTATTTGAGTGCTGATCAACATGGGTTTACTGTTGGCCGCTCTACAACCACAAATCTGCAGTGTCTCACATCGTATATAACCGAAAGCATGTCGGATCGGGTTCAAACGGACGTTATTTATTCAAATCTATCCGCAGCATTCGACAAGTTGAACCATGCTATTGCGATTGCTAAACTCGGCAGGCTCGGTGTATGCAGTAATCTTCTGAGTTGGTTTCGATCATATCTTACCGGTCGGCAACTTAAGGTTGCCATAGGAGATTGCAGATCAGCTAGCTTCTTCGCCACATCAGGTATACCTCAGGGAAGCCACATGGGACCGTTAATTTTTATACTGTACTTCAACGACGTGGATCTGGCATCGAAGCTCCTCGGTTATCATATGCAGATGACCTCAAGATCTTCCTACGAATCTGCTCCATTGCTAACTGTCACTTTCTTCAACGTCAACTGAATGTATTCACTAGTTGGTGCAGGTTAAACAGAATGGTACTTAACCCAGCCAAATGCTCCGCTCCGTTCTCACGAAAACAACAACCGATAATATTTACTATGACCTACTCGGCTCGACAATCGAACGCGTGAATCAGGTGAAAGACTTGGGTGTGATCTTGGATTCGCAGCTTTCATTCAAGCAACACATTGGCGTTGACGGCGACTCTGTAGCTCTTTACTCTAATGTTAAAATCCATAACCAAACGTCAGACCACAGACAAACAGACATAACACTCGCAAGTTGTTCATCGAACAAGCATTTAACGGTCAATTTAAAAGTATCGTAGTTGGTAGTACCGCCACCTGTGGCGCGCATAGTCAGTTCTCTTGCGTTTGACGTTTACACACTACCGCCATCTGTTCAGTGTACTACCCACCACAGTGTACTCAACAGATGGCGGTAATGTTTTAGCGACGATGTTTTACAATGAGGAATATTCAATGTGTTATGTCTGTTTGTCTGTGGTCAGACTGTGCGTGAAACATGGCGGACTTTGTACTATCCTTTCACTCCACGGAAAATTCTCATAAGAAACTGTCAATCTTTGCTAAAAGAGACGATTTTTCGGCGGTGCCGTCAACGCCAATCGCATATGTTGTTGATAAGGCGTCAAGAACTTTAAGGTTCATTTTTAGGATAGCTAAAAACTTCACTGATATCTACTATCCAAAATCTCTCTATTGTTCGCTTGTTCGATCGACGCTTGAGTATTGTTCAGCGGTTTGGAACCCAAACTACAACAACGGTGCCGAGAGAATTGAATCTGTTCAACGTCGCTTTCTTCGTTTTGCGTTGCGTAGATTGCCTTGGAATGATCCGTTTCGATTACCAAGTTACGAAAGCCGTTGTCAACTTATCGACCTAGAACTTCTCCGGACTAGAAGAGACACAAGCAGAGCCTTAACCGTGGCCGATATCCTGGCTATCCTGAGGCAAATTGACCTGAATGTTCAACCCCGACCGCTTCGTAATAACCTTATGCTAAAGGCCGGCGCACAATAGATACGTTTTCGGTTTTTTTTGTCAAAAAACCTGAAAACGTATCTATTGTGCGCCGGCCTTAAGACTGCCTCTACGTCGCACAAATTATGGAGCACACGGTGCGATTTGCGGACTGCTCAGAACATTCAACAGAGTTGCATCTGTTTTCGACTTTCATCTCTCCCGTGATGCGCTTCGTCGAAAGTTTTATTCCTTTTTTCGGCGGCAGGAGTAACTGACTATAAAATATGTTTTTTTTATGTAATGCTATTTTATGTTATAGCCGACACCTTGGTTTGCGGATAGCCCCTGCATAGTGAAATTAAACAGTGAGCATGCATAAGGGCGTATACGCGATAATCGATTCTCTTCATCGATTTTATCTTTGCATTGCTACAGCTAAGCGAAACAATTTTCTAGAATTTGTTCAATGCAGAGTTGTAACAGGCTGTATTGTCTATCAAAAGCAACAGCAAACGCTCCGAGAAACGTTAATTCTAGCGAGTTATTAACAAAAGAGAAAATCGACGAAGAGAATCGATCATCGCGTTTACGCCCTTATGCATGCTCCTATATATCTACCAGTCTCAATCTCAAAGAAATGCACAAGGGCGTATGGAGCATTCACTTTACTTTTAATTGATTGGTTTAAGCACAGACAAACAGACGTAACTCTTCATTGTGTATCTTCGTTCACGCATTTAACGGTTGATTTGAATATTATCAGTTCCGCGAACTACTCGCCGTAGCGCTGGCATCGGATCACTTTGACGTTTCTATACATTCTATTGAACTTTCATGCAATATTGTTTGCGAGTTAGCGAGCAAGATTGTTTTCCGCAAGAAGCCCGAGAGATGTCGTTACTGAGGTCCTATGTTTTGAGATGCTATGTTTTCAAGAAAAACTTTTTCAAAGAGTTACGTCTGTTTGTCTGTGGTTTAAGTAACATTAAAGAATATATTGTATTTATTCAATAGGGTAAAGTGCATAACATGCACATTAGCTGTTATTTTTGTTCGTTGCCCTTCAAAGTGGAGGACAATGCCGGCGACTGTAGTTGCGAAATTTCCAGCAGCTCAGACGAATCAAATGCATTAAATGATGCTTCCGTGATGGTACTGTCAAATCTAACAGACTTCCTTGCAATTTTGCCTGCCTTTTTCAAAGGAGTTGAATCGTTCCTTTGAGGTTCGTCTGCTTCAGCGACACATTTAAGAATGGAAGACATTATCGACGCTTCAAAATCATCTTCCTCCAGCTTGGGAGCCTTGTTCTTTTTATTTTTTGTCTTTTTTACCTTCTCGGTTTTGGACGTATCAATCTGGTCGTTTTTGGTTTGCCCGGATGTATCGGTTTGAAGGTCGTGCTGTTCAGGCTCATTACATTGTGCTGCAAATTTTTGCAATAGTTCTGCTTCCAATGAGTCAATATCGTGTTTCTTTTTCTTTTTCTTCTTCAATGGTCGGGATTTCTCGGCAGATTGGGTCTCTTTTTTAGGCTGTTCTATTCCTGAGGTACTGGGATCAGACTCTATAGCGTCGCTCATTTCTTTCTCAAGGCCACTCAGAAGAGCGTTTATTGAGAGTTGCATTTCTTCATCTGACTGTTTGTCATCCTTGGCTGCGTGTCCATTCGGTTTGGTGTGTTTCCTTTTACTTCCTTTCATGTTTGTGTCTTTCTTGCTTGAAACGAAATCATCTGGTTTGTTATCTGAAAGTAAATTTTCCGGGTTTAATAAATAAAATATCTTTTATATTTTTCTAATCTTACCCTCTATCTTTGCCTCAATACTCTCCCCGCATACTCCAACTTTATTCGCATCGAAATCGTTTTGCTCGGGCTTAACCTGCGATACATTTTTCGGAGGCTTTTCCTTTTTTACGCCATTCGTTACCGGATTATCATCGTCAGATTTCGAAATGAGCTGCCCCTCTATGAAGGGCAGATCGCTTTTCATGTCAAATGCCTTAACGATGAAGCTAATCACCGTGCCCCGTGCGAAGTTCGTGATCTTTTGCATTTTTAATTTTATTGTGACATTGAAGACACGGTAGATAACAGCACTGAGGTAGTTGGACGAAACATATTGGACTGTTCCTTCGATGGTTGCTCCAATCTGCGGTCGAAACACGTAAAAGTCCGTTCTAAGTTTCACATGAACACGTACGCTGTTTGGACGTATGGCCGATAGTGGACTCAGAATCTGGGTGTTTTTGAAAGCCAGTATAACACCGTCGACCTTCCGATCATATGTTCCGATTTTCTGCGTAAGGCATGCCTTCACTCCTTCGCAAATGTTACCAAGATACTTTGGTAGCACGGAAATCAAATCTATCCACTCCAGCTTTTGCACACATGTACCAGGATCAGCCAAGTACGATTCTAATTCTTTTGTAGTGTACTTGGTGTATTTAGTGAACGTATTTCCACTCATTTTATAAGTTTTTCCAGCTTTTCCTACATTTAAACGTGTTTTGAAAATGTGTCCCACACTTGGTAAAGAGAAACGTCACTGTGCAATAACCTTTCTTTCATGTATTTATAAAAACAAATACAAATCTGAGGGATTCGGATCATTATACCGAATATGTAATGTGGCTGCGTACTGGATTGATAGTCTACACTGAAAATAACTTTGCAGTAGAAATTATGGGGGCATTTCTCCAAACAAAATTTCACGCGGCCTTTGCCTCGGCCTATAGTCAAACGACGGGCTACACTTTTCGCTCCTAATTTACTGTATCTTTATAGATCTTTTTGCCGTTTATGGGGTGTTTATACTTAGGCTAGTTCACTAGTGCTAATGAGCTCGCTGTTTGCAAAAACGCTAACCAGTATGATGTAAACAGTTTCTAGCAACTAGTTGGGTTCTTTAATTTTGAAAAATATATTGGTTTTATATATCATCTGAAAGAGCTTCGTTTTTTGAGCACAGCGATATTTTTTGACGTAGGACTACGTCTTTAATTTCTATACTGGTGGTCACATTAAAAAATCAAAATTCAGCCATGTAACGAAAAATCCCAAACACGGACATGCTCACATGAGCGAGCTCAATGCTCGGTTGATCGACCAATGAATTGAAGGGAGGAGAAAAGCAGCGATGATAAAAACGCTTGTAAAATCGTTTTCTTCGTCATTTGCTTTCGAGCAACGACGACGACGAAAGCACCCACATCGACCGGAGGAAAGGAGCAATAAAAAGCATGACTAGGCCGCCGTCATCCAGTCGGCATGGACTTGCACTGGTGTGGCCATTCTTTGAAAAACATATGGCCCTTTTCAGGGCCACCAATTCAAAAACGGAAAGAGTTAAGAACTAAATGAACAACATATTTGTTCCGTCGACTAGCGGTCCTACGTCAAGCTTCCGTTCGTGCCCCTAGGCACAGACCCTTCTATTTTTTTTCGAACCCACACATTTTCATCTCGATTTTTAAATCAAGATTTAAAGCAAAATAATAACTTCATTGATTGACACTAAAGTGACAAACTGACAGCTCGCTTCCATACAAAGTGACACCGAGGGGCGCTAATAAGGTGATTTTTGCAAATGTAATCGTTCTTATTTAAAATAGTTCCAGTGTACCAAAATTGATGAAATTTTGGGTTTGAGTTCCATTTTTAATGCAGATTACGAATATGCATTTACCTCAATACCCTTAAAGAACCCAATTGGGTTCTTTAAGGGTGTTGAGGTAAATACATATTCGTAATCTGCATTAAAAATGGAACCCAAACCCAAAATTTTATCGATTTGTGTACACTGGAACTATTTTAAATAAGTACGATTACATTAGCAAAAATCACCTTATTAGCGCCCCTCGGTGTCACTTTGTATGGGAGTGAGCTGTCAGTTTGTTAGTTTACTGTCAAACAGTGAAGTTGTTATTTTGCTTTAAATCTTAATTTAAAAATCGAGATGAAAGTGAAAGGGTTTGACAAAAATATCGCTGTGCTCAGAAAACGAAGCTCTTTCGGATGATGTATAAAAAACAATATATTTTAAAAAATTAAAGAACCCAATTTCCACTTGCGTATCAATTTCAGGCGCTTCTGAAAGTACATGCTGGTGATGAGAAGCTGGTACCCGAGAGTAGTGAACAAAATATCAGAAGAGCAAGACCTGTTGTCGTGTCGCTCCTACAAACGGGACCAGCAAATGGTTGCTCTGTTCCGGGTTTACGAGCAATATCCATGTTTGTGGGACTTTTCCAATCCCGACTACAAAATAGAACAAAAACGGATCAGTGCTTCAAAAATGATTGCATGCGATATGAAAATCTCATCGATCGAAGAGGTGAGGAAGAACACGAAATCAATGCGGGATACTTTTTTTTTTTTTTTTTTTTCCTTTGGTTTGTTTTTTCCGTCGATCTTGTTTTCCGTGCTGAGCACCAATGCTACCGACGTGCCAGGAAGGCAGCTCCCACACCTGGACCCTACCTATCGACCCAACAACTCATGAACCGGGGACCAACGGCTTTACTTCCCATCCGAAGGAAGGCGTGATCAGAGATGTTATGCCTCAGAACATCCTGGCGGCGCCGACTGGTATTGAACCCAGGCCTGCTGGGGTGAGAGGTAATCACGCTTACCACTACACCACCGGCGCCGTTAATGCGGGATACTTAAACAGCAAAAAAATGTAATATCGATCAATGTAATTCAAACTGATGTATGCCCCTATCCGGTGATGCCGGTAATTTGCGTTCGATTGTCTAGGAAAGAATAATCAACGTTTTGTTTATGAATGTTGATAGGACCTTTTCAATTGTTGGTCTACAATATATTGAATTGGTTCCGCTTTTTGATAGATCGGAATTTTATCCGCCAGACTATGAATATAGCGACTATAGTTGATAGTCATTCCTGGTCATCGTCCGTCCGTCACCGTCATTAGCGGTAGAGTGGTAGAATCGTCATCGTCATCATCATCACACAAAGTGGCAACTCTATCTCGGGTCTCCATTTTCCCTGTCCTATCCAACAGAGATTACCGTACGGGGTGCAGTTGCTGTTCGGTATGTTTTCTGTTAGTACCACATAATATGTGTCTGGGTGAAGGTGAATTTTGGGCATATTTTTTTTTTTTTTTTTTTTTTTTAACTCTTTATTTGTTTCAAATTCAAAATAAATTACATTTCATTTTTAACCTAGGTGCTCCAGTTACTACAGTAACTTACCAGCCTTAATTGTTATGATATATATCTAAGTGTTTTTACATTGTTCCTGTCTTGGCAATTCAGTATTTTAAACAGGTTTTTTAAACCTGCATGTCAGTATAACAATTGATAGCTTAAAACTAAATAACTAAAACTAAATCTTATCTAAGTACAAAGGGAATTAATCGTTGCAATTGAGGATTGTAACGATTTTTGCCGGAAATTATTAATTATTTTGTTGGACATTTGTGCTAAAGTCTCAACATTCGAAATTCTATGTACTTCGGTAGTACTGTACCAGGGAGGCAACTTCAAAATCATCTTCAGAATTTTGTTCTGAATCCTTTGAAGTGCTTTTTTCCTGGTAGTGCAACAACTAGACCATATTGGCACAGCGTAAAGCATGGCCGGTCTAAAAACTTGTTTAAATATTAGAAGTTTATTCGTCAGGCAAAGTTTGGATTTCCTGTTTATAAGAGGATACAAACATTTAATATATTTGTTACATTTGTCTTGAATGCCCTCAATGTGATCTTTAAAAGTTAATTTTTGGTCAAGTATTAATCCAAGATATTTCACTTGGTTTGACGAGGAAATTGGAACTCCGTTCATAGTGACTATGTGACTACTACTAGGTTTCAAAAACGAAGCTCTAGGCTTGTGTGGAAATATTATAAGTTGAGTTTTGGAAGCGTTGGGAGAAATCTTCCATTTTTGTAAATAAGAAGAGAAAATATCTAAACTTTTCTGAAGTCTGCTGCAAATAACACGAAGACTTCTTCCTTTAGTGGAAATGCCTGTGTCATCAGCGAACAAAGATTTGTGGCAACCCTGAAGCAAATCAGGGAGGTCCGAAGTGAAAATGTTATACAATATAGGCCCAAGAATGCTACCCTGAGGAACTCCTGCTCTAACAGGTAGTCGATTAGATTTGGAATTTTGATAATTTACCTGCAGAGTTCTGTCAGTTAAATAATTTTGAACTAATTTCATAATGTAAAGTGGAAAATTAAACTTTTTCAATTTAGCAATCAAACCTTCATGCCAAACACTGTCGAATGCTTTTTCTATGTCTAGAAGAGCAACTCCAGTTGAGTGGCCTTCAGATTTGTTTGAACGAATTAAATTGGTAACTCTCAAGAGTTGATGAGTAGTTGAATGCCCATGGCGAAATCCAAACTGCTCATCTGCAAAAATTGAGTTCGTATTGATGTGAAGCATCATTCTATTCAAAATTATCTTTTCAAAAAGTTTACTTATTGAAGAAAGCAAACTTATTGGACGGTAGCTAGAAGCTTCAGCTGGATTTTTATCCGGCTTCAAAATTGGAACAACTTTTGCATTTTTCCATTTATCAGGAAAGTATGCCAAATGGAAACATCTGTTAAATAATTTTACCAAGAAAGACAAGGTACTCTCTGGGAGTTTTTTGATGAGGATATAGAAAATTCCATCATCACCTGGAGCTTTCATATTTTGAAATTTTTTAGTTATAGACCTTACTTCGTCCAAATCAGTCCCCCACGAATCATCAAAAATATTTTCCCGAGAGAAAATATTCAGAAAATCCCGAGCAACCTGATTCTCAATAGGACTAGTAAGACCCAAACTGAAATTATGGGAACTCTCGAATTGCTTAGCAAGTTTCTGAGCTTTTTCCAAATTTGTGATCAAAATTTTACCACCTTCTTTAAGCGCTGGAATTGGCTTTTGAGAAATTATTTATAATTTAGAAACATTATTTTCAAAAGTTTTGTTCCTCAGGGCAGAGAATCGCTTTTTAATTTGTTTTTGCAAATCCCGCCAGATAACTTTCATGGCAGGATCGCGTGTTCTTTGAAATTGTCTCCTACGGACATTTTTAAGACGGATCAAGAGCTGAAGATCATCGTCTGTTATAATTGAATCGAATTTAACCTCGCATTTTGGTACTGAGGCAGCTCTTGCTTCAACTATAGAAGTAGTCAGAGATTCAAGAGCATAATTAATTTCATCTTTGGTTTGCAAAGGAATGTTTGGATCGAAGTTATATTCCATAAATGTTCGATATTATTCCCAATCAGCTCTATGGTAATTGAAAGTAGAGCTGTTGGGATTAGAAATTATTTCTTGGGATATTTCAAAAGTTACTGGAAGGTTATCAGAACCGAAGTCAGCACGGGTAACCAATTGGCTACAAAGTTGACATGAAGAAAAGCATGTTGGGCTGTTTGGATATTGAATAGTGTAATAACCTGCAGAACAATCATCAAACAGAATATTACCATTGGAATTGCTTTGAGCATTATTCCATGAGCGGTGTTTTGCATTAAAATCACCAAT